GCACAAGCAAACGCCATATTAACAGCTCTTAAATATATCAATAAACACCCTAAACATAAACAATATATCATCTTCTCAGACACTCTTTCAACATACACTGTTAATTGAAATAATTGAATTACATAATGTTCTTGATATTTGCCAATACGATTTTATACATTGGTAATCAAGCCATGTTGGAATTTCTGGTAACAAATTGGCCCTCAAATCTGCGACAACATTTCTAACCCATACACTGACTATAAAGCCGTGATTGGAGCATATAGCCATGATCTAATACAGAAGAAGTGGTAGTGGAATTGGGTTTAACGTCGTGCTTGAGAGTATTTCACTCATATGACGACGTGCATGCGTGTGTATGTGTATGTGCGGCTGCTTGTACTAGCCCAGACTGAAGCTGGTCCAGACTGAAGCTGGTTTTATAGTGCTAGCCCACTGAGATACCATGCCGCAGTGAAGCATGAATACCTCACTCAGACACATTATACTGACTCCGAGCCGACAGGTCCTTGTTGTGTCCATTAATGCCGAGCGCAAGGCAGGGACCAACAAGTACCATATTTTAACGTCTTTTGGTATGACGTGGTCGGGGATCGAACCCGCGACCTTCCGCTCTCCGGGCGGACGCTCTAACCACTACACCACGGAGGCGGTCGCAGAAGAAGTGGGGCACTCAGGTAGATATCAATAAGTTACATCAAATATAACCAAGAATTGGTTACACCTACTTGGGTATTTATAATATTTTAAAAAATTCTGAATTGAAATATGAGACCTATCTGAATTTATTACATATAATAATCGAATAGGGCGTTACTTAATTTCAGAACTTCAAACCATGGCCAATTGAAACAGGACGATGGATCAAAACTCACCCAAATGAAAGAATATGTACTCTCTGTAATGCAAACGATGTTGGAGACGGCCCAAGAAAGGAAACATATATTAACAGCTGTTTTTTGTAGAAATCCGAATATGCACAAAATGAATCAATTGAACAATTAGGAAATTTGCAATATTTTGCAAAATAATAATGTCTCACTTCAAGCAACGCCCCCACAAAAATAATCAATAACGAACGGGTGTAACAATGTTTATTTAACTGGTTAAATGTATGTACAGACAGTTTATTATTGCAACCAAGCAATATGTTAATATGACCACTTTATGTTACATGCCTGTATTTATAATGTACATTATGATGTAAACTTGTACCTCTAATGCCGCAGAACGCGGACAGAGTGTAAATAAAGTTCAGTTCATTCAGGTTGTCAGTCCAGATTTGAAGAGGTCATTATGCGACGATGTCACATTGGCCACTCGAGATATACCCAATGAATATTTGTTCAGATGTGAGGATCCTCCATTTTGTGATGAAAGAATCACAGTGAAGCAGTGAAATCCTTCTTGACAGAATTGATTTCCCATCACAAAGAATAATTATTTCAATGTTTGATCTACAAAGGATCTTTTAATCATATTGCTCCCCATTTTTAAAATGCTTAGATTTTAAAAGAAATTAAATTAATTAATAGATTTTGACATTGTGTAGATAGTTGATTATTTTAATACTGGTAGAGTCAAAGTTGCAATGTAGATGGTTAGAGGCTGTATGCTTGGGTTAAACTGGGGGTTTCACTGTCGTACAGTTATTGTCCTACTGAGAGGATACGTAATTCCCAAAACTTTCAAAGTCAAACTTTTAATCGTAGAATATTTGTTGGTTGAAATAATAGATAAATCTCACTACAAACACCAGCGGCTGATGGGATGGTGCTATCCCGGCACTGTAAGTATGGTGATCAACCTTCAGTTGCTGGTGATCTATAGCCTGTTTTTACATTTTAAGGTCCTAGATAGTAGATACTTTAAGACAGATGCTAGTCTTAAATCTTGAACTGTGACATTCTAGTTGTTTTACAGTCCTTCACAGACAGATTTTAAAATGTAACATTAACTCGTATTTAAGCATGACCTTTTTAGTCACGATATGGCTGAAATATTGCTGACTATGCATTTTAACTCACTTTTATCACTGTCATTTTAGTAATTATATTGCAAAATCTTCTTCTCTTGCAGTGAGGTCTCTCGTTCCAAGAGACTACAACCCACTTTAGGCTACCATTAACACAAATATATGGGGAAAGATAGTGAGGTGAGGTGAAAGTGGGATTAACGTCGTGCTTGAGAATATATCGCTCATATGACGACGTGCATGCGTGTGTATGTGTATGTGCGGCTGCTTGTACTAGCCCAGACTTAAGCTGGTTTTATATTGACTGAGATACCATACCGCAGTGAAGCATGAATACCCCACTCAGACACATTATACTGACTCCGAGCCGACCAGTCCTTGTTTTACCCATTAATGCCGAGCGCAAGGCAGGGACCAACAAGTACCATATTTTAACGTCTTTTGGTATGACGTGGTCGGGGATCGAACCCGCGACCTTCCGCTCTCCGGGCGGACGCTCTAACCACTACACCACGGAGGCGGTCGGAAAAGATAGTGGAGAATGCCTTTTTGAAAAATACTTATAAGGTATTAATTGTGATTCTGTGTTAACACACATTATATTCAGCAGGTGACTCCTTTCCTTTCAGGGTACTCTGATTGGTTACCTGGTAGTCGAGAAGATATTGTTGTGGATCCAATGACAGGGCCAAAGCAAATTCGCCTCCACCCTTGGAATCAAAGAATCGTATGCATTATCAACTAAAAGAAAGTTGCGTAATTTTTAATCTTTACCCCTTTACTCTTACTTAATTAATTGCGGCAAATGCAAGACCAGTATTACAATGATGTTTCTGTCAATTTATTGGAAAATGATTTCCGTTTGTAAAAGAATTATCATATATCTTACATACGTGTTCGTTTCTATTTTTGGTCAAGTGAACTTAGTCGGTGATTGCTTCCTTTTGTCCTATAGTTTGTAATGCATGCAATTCTTTTCATTCACATTATACATGATTCTCCATAACAATCATCATCATCCCCTTACCTTTCCTACAAACGCCAGAGGTAAATCCAGCTAGGGTCCATGCAGGTAGCATTTACTTCAGTTTTACGCCCCTTTTAGCATTATTCCAGCAATAGATCGGCGGAGGACACCAGAAATGGGCTTCACGCATTGTACCCATGTGGTAAATCCATTGCAACAGAAGTACGTGTCAAAGTGGGCTAAATACTTGACTGTTCCGGTTTGATACCTGTTGATACCCTCGTCAGCGATATACAAGTTAAAATTTCTGGACAATGTTGGAAGTACTGCATAGGCTTCTACTCTACATATGTTTAACCCATAGAAAGGTATACAGCATTGATGTCAACCGTCAACAGTCGCAACAGCTTTCAGTAGACATATTTTACGTAAGCTTCAGTCAGGTAATCTAAGTCTTGAAGATGACTGACTGACTGAGTGAGTTTGGTTTTACGCCGCTTTTAGCAATATTCCAGCAACATCACATCGGGGGACACCAGAAATGGGCTTCACACATTGTACCCATGTGGGGATTCGAACCCGGGTCTTCGGCGTGACAAGCCAACGCTTTAACCATTAGGCTACCCCACCGCCCCTCTTGAAGATGACGTGGCCCAATTCTATCAGTGAGTGAGTGGGTTTAGTTTTACGCCGCACCTAGCAATATTCCAGCTGTATTGCGGCGGTCTGTAAATAATCGAGCCTGGACAAGACAATCCAGTGATCAACGGCATGAGCATCGATCTGCACAATTTGGAACCGATGACATGTGTCAACCAAGTCAGCGAGCCGTTAGCCGCCTCTTCTAACCCGGATCTGGTACGTAAATCCCAAAACCTTCAAAGTAAATTTAAACGAACCAGATTTTTAAAACGTGATATTTTTGTAGTTTTTAATTATGGCTAGAGTTCACTACAATCACTAGTGGCTGAGGGGATTATGTAAATCCAGCTAGGGGCCCCGTGGTCCCTATAAATTATAATAGCTCTAAATTTGATTTAAAACCGAACGCGTATTAAAAAATTAGAGTTATTATAATTTCGTTATATACCTCTGATTTTCCAACACAGTATGTTTATTTCCATTCTACCATAACCGCGTTATTAAGATTTTAAAAAGATACAAACTGTGTTGGAAAGTTAGAGGTATATAACGTCATGGTAGAATTTGCAATGTCCCAAGTAGTATATATTTTTAAGTTACACGATACAAGTTTTAAATCTCTGACTGATATACTAGTTGTTTTCTCTCTTTTGGTGACAGATTTTATAAAATAAAATTATAAAGTATGTACTGTTTTAGTCACGATGTGCCAAAGTGACTTGAAATATTAACTCACTCACTTACTCACTCACTCACTCACTAAACCGATACAAGTTTTAAATCTCTGACTGATAGACTAGTTGTTTTCTCTCTTTTGGTGACAGATTTTATAAAATAAAATTATAAAGTATGTACTGTTTTAGTCACGATGTGCCAAAGTGACTTGAAATATTAACTCACTCACTTACTCACTCACTCACTCACTAACCCGGATTTTCATGGGTCTGTGTTTGTGTGTGTGGCTATCGGTGCCAAGCCGAGATTTAACATGGTCACAACTCTAGCAGGATATTCTGACCGGATCAGACCTTGTTTTATATCCTTTATGCCGCTACCCGCGACGATCCGGGTTACAAATTATCTTCAGCAACACATGCCTGTCGTAAGAGGCGACTAACGGGATCGGTGACTCGCTGACATGGTTGTCACATGTAGATCGATGCCCATGCTGTTGATCACTGGATTGTCTGGTCCCGATTATTTACAGCCCGCCGCCATATAGCAGGAATATTGCTGAGTGCGGCGTTAAACAACAAAATTCAAATAACAAGTACCATTCTCCTTTGGAAAGACGAGGTCGGGGATCAAACCAGAAACTTGCTGCTCACAGGTCAAACCCTCTGTCCACTTGACCACAGAATGGTTGTAGCCAATGGTGCAACAGTTTAATGTTTTATCAATTTCTATTTTCTCTCGTTAATTCAAAACCTTTATTAACTCATCAAAAATGAATACAAAATCAATAAATACCGTATTGGATACATATACCAGCTATCACTGTCGAGAGATGGAATTACGAAATTAACCATTCCTCCCGCTGATTGGTTGTTTTGCCCTCGGAGTTCGCGCATGCCTGTTTCAAGTACAAGCAGGGTATCAGCTGCCGAGTCGCCTCCCCTGGCGCTCCATCCCCACGTGCCGCTGTAACCATGGTGATAGCCCCAGCTGAACTGCTGGGCAGCGGTCAGTCCGGCTCCCTCCTTTTGACTGAACTCACCGATAATGACGGGTTTGTCCAAGGTGTAGTTTGTCGCCGATACCTGTGGATTGTTCATATTGATTGTTCATATGGATTGTTCATATGGATTGTTCATATTGATTGTTCACACGTGCAGTTAATCACCCCTTAATTCCACGTGTTCTGGCATTTAGGAAATAAGAACAAATTTGGTTTGTTACTGCAGCTATAGACTGTTTGCAGTGAAAACGTACCGGTAAATTTCACTTTAAACAAAAAGGTAAATGGAATAAAGTGAAATTAAGATAGCAAATCCTCAAAATTTTACCTTGCCAACTGAACATATAAATCTCAGAATTTTATTCAACTTAGGATCATAGTTTCAAATCGCTGTTATTGGTTTGTATGACAAGGGGGTATGAGCATTAAATGAAACACCGAGAACAAGTAGGGTTGGTCGTGCATACACTGGTACTTTTAGAAAGTGGACAAATGGAATTTATATCATATTCTTATTAAAAATCAGATATATTTACACAGACACCTAACGGCATGAAGATCTCACCACGACACGGTAAATGGTCAGGAAGGAAGTTGAGTCAGACCATCTTTCGAAAGGGCCAATTAGCGACTTCTGATTGAGTGAATCATTTAGACAGGTATAAATCGCTTCCATATCACCAAAACCCGAGAAGGTCCGTGATAGAATGAACCTTCAGTAACCCATGCTTGTCATAAGAAGCGATTAACGGGATCAGGTGGTCAGGCTCGCTGACTTGGTTGACACATGTCATCGCATCCCAATTGCGTAGATTGATGTTCATGCTGTTGATCACTGGATTGTCTGGTCCAGATCCGATTATTTACAGACCTCCGCCATATAGCTGGAATATTGCTGAGTGCGGCGTAAAACTAAACTCACTCACTCCATATCTCCACGGTCTGCCATTACATTATTGTGGGTACTCTAAGAATAATGTCGTTTCTGAGCGCGTTGAATTCTACTTCAAAAAGGGAGTACAGTGAAAGATATATCTGTGTTCTGTGTTGGTTTTCTTTCAGAGTAAAGAGATGGTAAAGAATGAAGCCGAAATGTTTAGTGAGCTGAATATCATTAGCTCAAGAACCAGAGATTGCTGAGATTGTGTGTTTGTTGTTTATTCCAGCAATATGGCGGCGGTCTGAAAACAAATCGAGCCTGGACCAGACAATCCAGTGATCAACATCATGAGCGTGTTTACGATGGGATACAATAAGATGTGTCAACCAGGTCAGCGAGCCTGACCACCTAATCCCCTTAGTCGCCTCTTACGACAAGCATGAGTTGCTGAAGATCAATTCTAACCCGGATGTTCATGGGTATTTCGCGGAGGGTTCAACAAAGCAGACCTGCATGCGCAGAGATGTCGTCGTAGGTCACGTACATTGATATAAGTTACGTTTGTCATAGTGAGTGAGTGAGTGAGTTTAGTTTTACGCCGCACTCAGCAATATTCCAGCTATATGGCGGCGGTCTGTAAATAATCGACTCTGGACCAGACAATCCAGTGATCAACATCATGAGCATCGATCTGCGCAATTGGGAACCGATGACCTGTGTCAAACAAGTCAGTGAGCCTGACCACCCGATCCCGTTAGTCGCCTTTTACGACAAGCATAGTCGCCTTTTGTGACAAGAATGGGTTGCTGAAGACCTATTCTACCCCGGATCTTCACGGGTCACGTTTGTCATAAGTCATTGCAGGCAATATACATGGTTTAATTCCACATGCGTGACGCGTGGTCCCAACTCACCTTAAAGGGATCTGCTGGCAAATAAACGCCGAACGTGGAATAGGTGTGTATCTCATAAAGGTCAAGGCCACTGTTGTTTTGACCGCTGGCTAGCCGCAAACAGTGGTCAGAGTAGAAATTGCGTCTCTGGAACTGATTAGTGACCGACTTGTATGTCCACGACCCCACTGTGACGAGAGTCTGGAGAAAAGGAAACACAGAAAGTTAATTCAGCGAGTGTCTCTAAATGGCACTTGCAGCCTTGGCGCTCTAAAAGATCTTCATTGTACCATAAAACCGATTCTAACAGTCAGTAAATTCTTCAGTAAATAAATACTGGATTGTGATTGGTGAATTAAAGTCATTCAGAGGTATATAATCAGGTTACATAGCTCAATTAAATCAAATTTAGAGCCATTAGAATTTCGTTATGTGCCTCTGATTTTCCCACACAGTATGTTTATCGCCTAAGTAATGCATTATGAGTTACCCGAGAGTCTTGCAATATAAAAAATGCATTAAAAGATCGCCCATTTCCCCAAATTTGGATAATGCATTATGAGAACCACTATTGTCTGCAATATAGCTAATGCATTAACTGATCCGACAGTTCCCCCAAATTTGGATTATGCATTATGAGATCTTCCATAGTCTACAGTACAGGCAATACGTCATGTGATCGTAGCCTGACGTATAGATAATACGGAAATTGATGTATCGATGATCAATTGTTGCCAGTGGTCGGATCACAAACAGTGATCAGTCGATTAATCTACCAACCCTGCGTCAGAATCGTTGTGTTAATCGACTCCCAGTCCTCGATTGTGACCTTTGTTTTGTCAGCAAAATACTCAGAAATGTCTACTCATGTAGAAAGTCTTGTCTTTCCACATCACTCACTCCCTCTCACCTCACCTCACCTCACCTCATCTTATCTCATCTCATCTCATCTCACCTCACCTCACCTCATCTCACCTCACCTCACCTCACCTCATTGTCTTCGGCATGAATGGCCGCCACCTGGCGTCCAATGAAAGCCAGGAGTCTCTGCAATGGAACGCTAGCGTGCGTCCAATCAGCGAAGTCCAGGATGTTGAGAGACGTGGTGTCATAGCACGTCTCACTGGAAGCGTGGCCTGCATGAACAAGAGAAGTATAATGTTAGTTAGGGTGTCTTAGTTAGGTGCCATACCAGGTTTACAATTGCATTTTGGGTGTCACAAGACTGGGTCAGTCGAGCCCAGTAATTTGACTAAGGGAAATCGTCCGTCTGCAATTTGGCCCCCGAGCCGAAATTATATAAAGCCATTTTTATGTTTCCGCCGACTCAACATCTGAACCTACCGACTGTTCATTCAATTGCTTGCATCCTGTGTCAGTGCTAGAATGTAGGTTGTAAGTAATGGACGAGTGAGTGAGTGAGTGAGTTTAGTTTTACGCCGCTTTTATACGCCAGCAATATCAAGGCGGGGGACACCAGAAATGGACTTAACACATTGTGCCCATGTGGGGAATCGAACCCGGGTTTTCGGGGTGACGAGCGAACGACAATGGACAAGTGAACATTCACAAGGAGGCTAAGGGCTCGATATTAACATTCATCTTTGTTTTATTGATACTTATTAAATTTGTGACATAGTAATATCTGATACAATCCAGTTGATGTCCTCTGATGCTTTTCTTTGTTGTTCTGTTCCTTTTTTGTAAGTCAGATCCTTTCCAGATGCAGATCCCCCAAAGTCACCCCTAAACACGCAAATTAAAGGGGCAACTAGGATGCAGATATGTTTGCCTTCTTTGATTATGTTGATATGAACATTTTTTTTATATTTCTATTTTTATTTTTATGATCGCCAGACCCAACTTTAGACCACGGTGGCCACGGGGATCACATAGAAGCTACTCTGTCCTAACCTCGTATGGTAAATATGGCTGAAGGAGTCATTGTAGGCACAGGTACTACAGATATGTACCCCAGGTACGTTTCTGTATACAGACATCTACCCTGAACAAAGACAAACTACAGAAACGTACCCGGTACCCTAAACGACGGACGAGTCCATATTCCGCAACCTAAAACCGAAACCGTATGTAGTTGTTCGCGTTCAGATGATTGTGAGTGATGTACGTTGTGCATCGTGACATATTCGTTAATGTGTATACTCTTATATAACGATATCAAATGCATCTAATACAACAGTATGACAGTTCCCATCAAGAAAACTCCACAATGCAGAATGGAATCGTTCAAGGGTACGTTTCTGTATTCTGATTTTGGCTAGGGTACATTTCTGTATACAGAAACGTACCTGGGGTACACATGTGTAGTACCCGTGCCGACAACGACCCCTTCACGTTAATATGTGTTATATTCGGCAGCTAATTTATTGACTTTATACCACCTGGCATCTTTATCGCCCATGTCACGTCCAAAGCTGACCAGTACAGCGGTTTGCCTCGATAAGGCACGGGTCAAAGGGAGATTACTCTTCAAACCGTGTAAGTTTTAACTATAATTTTCATCATTGGAGCCGGGAACTTGATTTTTGAAATATTATTTGTCCTTGAACATCACAATTAATGATAGTAAAAAACAGTGTCGAATAACGAATGTTTGTGCCATGTGAAATGGGAGATTGAAAATCCAAGATGGCTGTTACTGGCACAATCTGTAGTCGCATGGTCTCATTTTACGGCATTAATTAAGTGAGTGAGTGAGTCTAGTTTTGCGCCGCACTCAGCAATATTCCAGCTGTATGGCGGCGGTCTGTAAATAATCGAGTCTGGACCCAACAATCCAGAGATTAACAACATGAGCATTGATCTACGCAATTGGGATACAATGACATGTGTCCACCAAGCCAGCGAGCCTGACCTTCCGATCCCGTTAGTCGCCTCTTTCGACAAGCATGGGTTACTGAAGATCAATTCTAACCCGGATCTTCACGGGGAGACAAGTGTAGGTTACTGAAGATCAGTTCTAACCCGGATCTTCAAGGGCCACGTCATTAACAACCATCTTAGACTCTTACTGACGGTATACGGTTCATAAGTAACTCTGCTCTCTGATTGGTCAGTCTCCTTTTGAGGCATGGTGGTGTCAATATCTCACAAAAATAAACTCTGTCAAAAAAGAAACGCAACCCCTGTATTTTAGAGATTTTGATCTGAAGTTTTAGGACGACACGGCATTTTTATTATTTAAGACAGAAGTCTGAAATTTGGCAGAATAATAACCCAGATTGGCATGTTTAAAATTGTCATTTCAAAAGTCATCTCACAGACACCAGTTTGTCACCAGGGGGGCGTCTTTCTCAGTATCTCGTATGAGCACCACGCGCTGCAATCACTGCACGGCATCTCCTTGGACAAGAACGGATAAGACGCCGGATTCTTTCCTGGGGAATGGCTCTCCACTCCTCCTGCAGTGCAACGGCGAGCTGTTGCAGCGTCTGTGGCGGCGGCTGACGTATGACGTACGCGTCGATCCAGAGTATCCCACAGGTGTTCAATAGGGTTGAGGTCTGGTGATTTAGAGGGTCATGGCAAGACATTGACGTTGGAATTCTGCAGAAAGTTCATTGTTGCACGTGCAGTATGAGGCCGGGCGTTGTCCCGTTGAAAAATCTGTGTCTGTTGGTCAATAATCGGGAGAAGGTGAAGCTCTAACACGTGGTTGATGTAACGTTACTGTCAGGTTCCCTGGAACGATCACCAAGTCTGATTTCTGGTTGTATGAGATGGTTCCCCAAACCATGACGCTTTCTCCGCCAAATCTGTCCACCTGTCGGACGCAGATGGGCGCAAAAACGTTTATGACGTCTCCCTATACAGACGCTGTCTTCCGTCGTGACGTTGCAAAAGAAAAACGTGATTCATCAGAAAACCAGATTCGCCTCCAGTTTTGTAAAGTCCGTATCCTTACGTTGTTGCACCACCTGAGTCGTCGGCGTCGATGTAGGGGCGTAGTACAGGTCCAACAACTGGTCTACAGGCACGTAAACCCGCTTCTTTCAGACGGTTCCTAATCGTTTGAGCTGACACTCTCCTCAAACCTGGTATTTGTGTGGCAGTCACGGTTGGTAGGGCATGCCGATTACGCAGGTGATGGACCCGGATGTACCGATCTTGAAGGGGGTCGTGATTCTTGGCCTTCCACTTCGGGCGATCGTTGGTCAAATTGAAGTTGTTGTAGCGGCTCCAAAGTCGGGATATCGTTGTTTTGTGAACATTTAGGTGCCGTGCAACAGTTCCAAAACTTTCTCCGGCTTGAACACGACCAATGGCGATATTTCGGTCGGCAGCACTCAATCGTGGCATTTTTAACACAGCTTTTCGGCGACAAATGAATGAATATAATACGGAAGCACATGGGCTTTTATACACCCCTACATTAACTGCCATTTTCATGATTTGCATGTGTTTTTTTTGTGCGAAGTCACCATGAGGGTCATTTCATGCGTTGTGACGGAATAAGCAATAAAATACACTTATGCGTACAAATGCAGTTGTTTGGATGGTAATCTTCATTAATTACGTGTATCATTTCAATACATTCGAATAAAATTTAGTTTGGAAGCAATAACTTCATTCAAACGAATTTTTCATATCTGAGGACAGGGGTTGCGTTTCTTTTTTGACAGAGTTTACTTTGGTGTAACTGTTCATTGACGACTCTATATCATTCTCCAGTAATTTCGAGGCCCTAAAAGCTGGTATTTCGCTTTACCTTCATAGCAATCGCTTAAAATAAAAATTCTCTCCTATTACCCAAATCAATAACTGTTTTATAAACATGTTTCGCTTCTCCTTTCACAGATAAATGCTTGCTTTGGGGGAAAATTGTGCAGTGGATAATCATACCAAAATGTGGTACTTGATGTTTCCTTGCCTGGCGTTCAACATTTGGGCGATAAAACAATTTCTTGTTGGGTTGCAGTTACTGTGTCTCAGTTTGGTATATGTTTTAAACTGCAAGCTGCGGGACATTGGTGCAATAATTTGAACAAGACGCTTCACTTCTCATCGCAACACTGATTCCGTTATTAAGGTTCGAGTATTTACAGGTCACCGTGGTGTAGTTCTGCTGAATGGGGAAGGTGCTCTCACCGACGTCCACGCATCCTTCCGGTTCGTTCATGATCTCCCATATCCCCAGTGCCGAATTGTTCTTCAGGGCGTTCACAAGCGGCTTCAACCCGTAATCTATGTAGGACTGCAGCTTCGAGTCGTCATACAGAAGGCCGCTCAGTCTGTCCCCTGATTCAGAGTACAAAGGTAAGCCAAACATAGTAAACTGGTATTCATCAATGTTTGGCTAAAAGAAAAAACAAACATTAAAATGTTCCTTGATGGTAAAGCAGTTGAAACGAGTACTCCTTTGTGTTTATCTTGGTTGTGTTTCGAAGTCTGTTTTCAGTACTTTTGGAAAACGTTTCGTAATATTTGGGTCAAATTCATTTTCAAGTTTATACTTTCGTTTGCTTAGCAGTTTACGATCAGTGAACGAAAACTGGTTGATTGCATGTTCATTACAATCGCATATCTTGGCCTGCCAGTTACAGTTTAAATACATGGTGGACAGCAGACCAGTGAAATGTGTTTTGTTAAAGCTGATGTCAAAAACTGCATTTTCCGACTGACTATTATCTTGAGAACCTTAGACTAAATTTACTTTCTCGTTTTTTCTAGGGTGAGTATGATTTTATGACGCTTTTAGCAATATTCCAGCAATATCGCGGCGGGGGACACCAGAAATGGGCTTCGCACGTTGTACCCATGTGGGGAATCGAACCCGGGTCTTCAGCGTGACGAGCGGACACTTTTACCATTAGGCTTCCCCGCCATCACCTAATTTCTAGAAACGCAGGAGGGATAATGGATACGTTCCATCAAATAGATTCGTGGAGGTAGGCCGATATCTACACAAAATAAATTATTCGAGTGAGCAAAATGTTTCGCTGAGAAAGGTCATTAAAATATACAAGGGCTGTGACCTCTGTAAACTTGAGAAACCACAAAAATAAAATAAAAATACAAACTGCAGAAAAAGATATTTCGATATTTGGGATCAGTGCTGTTACGAATTACCAGGTTTAACGGCGCAGTTCCATAACACCAAGTTGATGAGAATGTTTCTTTCCCAAGCCTCGTTCAGGAAATCGGTGAGATCACTGATGAGGTCACGGTCAAGGCCAGTCACATAGCCAGAGCTGTTGAAATTCGGTGTAGACGAGCCATCGATGTGGAGCCACATTCCTGTACAAACATTTTTCTTTGTGGTTGAAGATATGGATTATTAAAGGCTATACGTTGTATATATTTTCCGTTTGGAACATTCTACGTAATGAAAGGATATTCTTTGAAAATGCACAATATATGTAAAACTTTTGAAAGATTGCAACAATGGAATACTAGTTGGAGACCAACTGAAATGGATTTTGGTATTTTCAACAATATTCCAGCTATATGTCGGCATCTGTAAATAATCAAGTCTGGACCAGACAATCCAGTAATCAACAGCAAGAGCATCGACCTAAGCACCTGGGATATGGGTGATACATGTGTTAACCACGTCAGTGAGCCTGACCACCTGATCCCGTTAGTCGCCTCTTACGACAAGCATGGGTTACTGAAGACCAATTCTAACCCAGATCTCAGGGTCACAGATACAAAAAAGCTCTCAAAAGCATACATTGTAACACAGCTGTTAATTCAACATGTTCTAAATAGCAAATCATTGTCAGAGAAATAGTTCTCGTTAGTGTTTCCATTCATACTTCATGAAAACTTTCCTTATGCTAAGACGCGTGAAGGTCCGGGTTTGAATATTGGCCTTCAGTAACCCATGCTTGTCGTAAGATCGGGTGGTCGGGCTCGCTGACTTGGTTCACACATCCCAATTGCGCAGATCGATGCTCATGCTGTTGATCACTGGATCGTCTGGTCCTGACTCGATTATTTACAGACCGCCGCCATATAGCTGAAATATTGCTGAGTGCGGCGTAAAACTAAACTCACTCACTCACTCCTTATGCTACGTACTTCATCGGCAAGGACAAAGGAAACTTTTCTTACACTCACGGGAGGGAGAAATAAATTAGCACAAGCGGTCGTAAAACATGTTTTAGTTCCACAAAATACGCAGTATGTCAGTGTCATTTGAGAAATGTTATGAGTGCACGGTGCACTGTTATACGTTGTAAACGATGTTTCAGTTGTGATGCATTGTGTCTGTAGATTAAGTAAAGGGGCAATCGTGTATACGTGTGCTGGGGTGGCAGGAGAAACGGGCCCCACATATTGTACTCATGTGGAGAATCGAACCCGGTCATAGGCTCCACGTGCAAACTCTTTAACCACTACTCTAACCCACCGCCGCTAAAGTGAGTGAGTTGGGTTTTACGCCGCTTTTAGCAATATTCCATCATTATCACGGCGGGGGACACCAGAAATGGGCTTCACACAATGTACCCATGTTGGGAATCGACCCCGGTTTTTTCGGCGTGACGTGCGAACGCTTTAACCACTAGGCTACCCCACCAACCCCCCACCGCTTAAGAAACATAACGATGGTGGGGTGAGTACGTGAGTGAGAGAATATGGTAGTATACCTTTGTTAAGGTGGCAAAAACCAGAAATGGCCTTGACACATGGTAACCATGTGGGGTTCGAACCCGAGACTCAGCGTGGCGAGCCAACACACTATCCACTGTGCTACTCCACTGCCTCCATTCAGACACTTAATGTGAACTGTACTATTCACACTTTGCTAAGGATTAAATCATTTATTCAATAGAAAACTATGATGTGGGGTCAAATTTGCTTTAAATATCTAAGCCTCTTGTAAGCATGGATCCAAGTTTTCTGTATGTCATTTGATCTGGTGGATCCCATACCTGCTATTGACAGGCGTTGTGTGCTTGTCAATGACCCGTGCCATGATTTGCAAAATGGTTGACTGGTGCCATGAAAACCATTTTTAAGGTTACTCCTGTATCAAGTGCATACGGTTAGCTTAAAGTGTCTGTTTTCCTGAAGATGTGTTACCATATCATTATTTATCCAGTTTTAAATGGATACAATTTCAAATTGTAAATCTACGTTTAAGAAAAGTTGCGAATTTGTGTGATCCTTAGCAAAGTGTGAGTAGTATACAGTATACGCTAGAAAGTCACTGAGTCTTGTTTTACAACGCACTCAGCAATATTCTAGCTATGGTATAAATTATCGAGTCTAGACCAGACAATCCAGTGATCAACAGCATGAGCATCGATCTACGCAACTGGGATACGATGGCATGTGTCAAGCAAGTCAGCGCGCCTGACCACCCGATCCCGTTAGTCGCCTCTTACGACAAGCATGGTTTACTGAAGATCAATTCTAACCCGGATCTTCACGGGTTACAAAAGGAAAGTATAATATAGGGGAAGTACTGAACAACCGCTGCGAGAAATACGATCATGGGTCACGTGTTCCGCTTCCTGTTAAAAATCCGTTTTGAATGCGGTTAATTGACCTTTATCAAACCAACTCGTACTTTGACAAGCTGGTTCACAGAGAACAATGCGTTTCCGAAACACGTTGCACTACAGTTGAGCTTTTACGTGTTTGACACAACAGTTATGGCTACGAGAGTATTATTTAGGCGTCTTTTATTTCTTATTTTATGAATGTGAGGGCCTGAAATCACAATTTTAAATTAAAATATAAATTAATAGAGTAGTCGTGTTTCACAGCCTATTGTCTAGCACTGCCTTTAGCAACAGCTCATATAACGACGGTCTGTAAATAATCGACTCCGTACCAGTCGCTCCTGTGGTTGACATCATGAGCATAGACGCAGTCGGGATACGATGGTACGCATCGACCACGATCAAGGTGTACGACCCGCATAGCTCCTGGGGACCTGAATCCTTACAATGAATCCCCGGGGATTGCTGTTTTTGGGGGGGTTTTATGGTTTTGTTTTCATCAAAAATGTTTTGCATAAACTTTGTACATTCCATTTTTCACTCTACCGACTCTTACATTAAATGATCACCATAAAACGTGAATGCACAATGTAATATATTCAATAAACAGTAATTATAGTAATAAGATATATTTTACATACCCTGAATAGAGCACTGGCAGTTGACTGAACATGGAAAGTGAATATATGATGTATCAATACTTCAACCAGTCTCTCTCTCTCTCTCTCTCGCTCTCTCGCTCTCTCTCGCAATACTTACGTAACGAGTTCCCTCCATTGTTGTGAACGCTGTCCAACGTTTTCATCAGGTGGGGTCGAGACTTCTTGTAGTTCCCTTGTCCGAAGTCATGTGCGAAATTGACCCATGCTTGATTGATCCCGGACAGATACACCTTCTCCCCACCCAGACCCAGAGCCCCGTCCCTCACATACAGCTTCCTCTGCCCGTGAGACAGCACAAGGAGCCATGAGACGGCGACAACACGGAGCCACCCACCATCCGAGGCCATTGTTAGGCAGTGTGATCGTTGCCAGCCGAGTGTTCGTATTTTAATCAGGTCTACGTTGTATGGTGAACTGGCCTTGTCATATCAGATCCACTGATAGAGCGAATGACACGCTTTCCGCAAAGCCGAGATACATACAGCCGCTGCCAAAACGCACAATAGAGAATAATTCAAACGTGAATGGCAGATCCTGCCAGCATTGTAGGGGCAAACATTCATTATTATAAAAAATATGAATTCGTTTGCGTGATGTTAAAACTACGATTTCCCATCTGTTCTATTGACAATAAACTAGTTCTGCACAATTTTCCAACAATTACCACAATTACGTTTGTGACCTAGACTGCCAATCATGTTTGATGGCGACTAAAACTAAATAGTTATTCGATGAGTGAGTGAGTGAGTTTAGTTTTACACCGCTTTTAGCAATATTTCAGCAATATCACGGCGGGGACACCTGAAATGGGCTTCACACATTGTACCCATGTGGAGGTTATTCGATGATGTTTTATACAATATGGGTATTATAGTAGCGTTTTCCCTTAGTTGCAGTGTTTCGGCGTCTAGTTTTTTTATTGCTTTATTTCATTAAAACAAGAAAACTTAAGCACACGGAGAATTGATATGATCCCATTTAGTCGCTGAAAATATAGAAAGTCTCTGGGCTCCTTTTCATTGTACTTTATGATTATAATTCAGGTATGCAGGTATACAAAGAGAAAACAGAATATGTCAGTTATGTAATATGAATAGTGATGAGGATGAATTACATTTCCTTCTAATCTGTCCAGTTTATACCACTCTACGAACGAAATACCTAAAGCCATACTATTATAAGCATCCAAGTGTAAGAAAATTAATTTCATTGTTAACAGATACTACCACATCAATATTACAGAATCTGGCAATGTACATCTATACTACCTATCAAAGTTTACACTCACTAGTGTAAATGTAGCCACTTACTTCAGTCAACTGTTCTAAACTAGATTTTGCAAAATATTCCATGCTGTTTAAAGGTACTGTTTATACACATGAACTGATGTATTGTAAAACAAATTCGTAATGATGAAAAGAGTATCGTCATGAGTTCAATAAATGATACAAAATCAGTGAAAATTGGCGAATTCTTTGCAAACCTTTACACCAAAATGCAGCTGTTCACATGCACGATATGTGCACATACTTTTCATGATGCATGATCCTCGTGCAATTCATCTGCATGAGGTTTGCAGTTGGTTCCCATAAGTTAGTGGAGAAATCTATCTTCTATGTAACCATATATACATACAAAACATATACTGAGTGTTTTAAGTGAGTCTAAATTTTCGATGGGAAGTATATTTCGCTGTGAGTTTCAGAAAAAGGATTGTTATGGAAAGAAATTGTAAATTACTTCTATCTACTCATGTAAACTCTAATTGTACGACAGGCATGTGGCTCCTTTTTAAGTATTAATTAAAGATTGATTGATTATAATTCAGGGATCTTTAAATCTGTCAAATATGTTCTACTTGCAGAGACTATTCTTCCCAAACCGGTACGCGTGGATAGTAATATCGTACACTCGATATGTAAATCAAGCCAATTTAAGTCAATTTCACTACACATATTTTCCTCACAAACAGTGAGGGATAAAATCACTCTTAAGTGTCAAAAGGGTTTATGTAGAGGTTAACAGTTTAACTGTTCCCGCATTTCTCGAAATCGCATACTCGCAGAACCCTCACTATCGTGAGGAGTTGTTGTCACGTGACATGCTGGCATTTCCTTCCGTGATTCGAAGGAGCCATTCATGCGCAGTTCATCGAGAGATAACCAATCACATCGTGGATAACAAAGGAGTTAGGATAGGTCGGTACCAAACTAGAACCTGGGATAACATCCCCACTACCCCACAACCCCACAACCTCCCTCCTGGCTTAATCTACTACTCCAAATTAGTCTTAATTGTAAAACCACATCCACTGAGAAAAGACTTTTAACTAGCAAACATGGTATTTTTATTCGAAGAGAGTCATTTTAAATCGCTTCTTTCGATGAGTTCTGATTTGGAGTAGCTTCCCTTAGTCGCGCTTCATGTCCTATAAGGTCGCGATCTCTCGCGAGATTGCTATGACAACACCTGTAGCTCGAGATGGAGTACACACGGGAAGCAGCTACAAGGGGAGATCACGAAAATGGACGGTAACTATTTATTATAGTTTTGATGCCTCAAAGTGAATGGAGATAATTGTGGGAAAGCCCGTACCCCCATCTTTTTACAAAGTAAATTTGCTCCAGGCGTATAATATTCCAAAACTGAAATAAGTTCATTGATCTTTTTTTTTATACCTGTTCTAGCTTTACTGAATGTATATTTAGGGTGAGGTATGCATGTCAGTTTGTAATTTTGATTTTGTTGGGGTTGAGGGTACTCGTGTTTTGTGAATGGGTGAGCAGTTCGAGCTGACGCTCAGTGGCTTGTCATTTCGTGAATCCGTTCTCATGACGCTGGCCATTGGATGCACGGAAACGATCTTGAGGTGGATGTTAACAAACCATCATCATTGATTATTGCCGGTGCTACTGTTTGACCAATTGACAACACAATATGAAGATTGTGAAAATGACCATCCGTGACATGGAGGTAGGTTTTATAGAAATTGAAATAGTTCGAGTAACTCTCTCTCTATTTATTAATCTCAGCAAATCAAATTTCAGTAGATAAACATCTAGTTTTGACTGTAGATTTCCATTTCATGCGAAAGTGAAACAGAGATATAACACTGTAGTTTACTGGACATATATCCATATTTGATGATCTTACATAACTACACAAGATAAACAACAAAATAAGCAGTAAACATATTCCCATTTGTATCTTGTTTTAATATGACTAAAACACTGAAATTGGAATATCCATGTTTCCATAAACATACAGACTTGAACATCAACATCAAAAGTCTTATCCTTGTGTTATGTGGTTTTCGGACACCAACAACATCAATTGTCTCGATTATCAATTGAATAACAATTGTAAACATGTTCAGCTTATAAAATGCTAACTTTAATGGAGGTAAGTTGTGATTTGTAGTGGACACAAATAGTATGATCCTGACATTATGGAAACATTGTTATTATTGAATCAATGTTTGAAATGGAATTATTTTCTCAGACCCACTGGGTAGTTTTTACCAATGGCCAGGCAACGTGGGACTAGTGGTGAAAGCATTCATGTTGACATTACGCTAAAGACCCAGGTTTCGATTCCTCACATGGGTACAACGTGTGAAGCCATTTCTGCTGTCCCCTGCCGGATATTGTTGGAATATTGCTAAAAGCAGTGCAAAACTAAACTCACTCACTCATTGAAATTGAATTCTCCAACTTACTGACAGTTATTAAGAAATCTTGGGGTATTTTGGATTTGACTGCCATTGCTCCACAGGTAATGCTAGAAATATGCCACAATACACATACTATATAGTCTCAAGTTGTTATTTTAGGACTTTTGAAAAAAAATTTATTCCAGTTCAATCAAATTACAATTTTGCTGACATTGTCTTATATAAAGAAGTGATAGAATAGATCTTGCTAAACAGACCAAAAAGAGGACAAGAGCTTCTTATTCAAAACAACATGAATACTTTCATAAGTTATGGCAATGGATTAAGATATGGCTTTTGTGAACACTTCCATACATGCACTCTAAGCACATCACTCATAAATATTATAACTATTAGGCACATTCTCCAAAACAATATAGACAGTGGGAGCCATGTTTTTAAAAGAACTATTATTATTTCTACATGCAATGAAATTTTCAATTCTATGATATCTTTAATATCTGTGATGACATGTGAAAGGGTTTGCAAGCTTGTCAGAGGAGACTGTGTCTTTAGATTAGTCCCAAGTTTGCTAATCAAGATAAGTGTATACCATGGCATTACTGGAATACTGCAGACTGCAGAGTTTATCGAAGTGTTCTGTATCACTCTGAACGTGTTCTATCAGTAATCATTGTTCCCCATGCAACAGGGAAAGTACACGTTCTCGGACGGCCTTGGGTACGAGGAAGACAAGTGGGAGTACTGCGATGGCTATGACAGAAGGTTCTACACTGAAATCTGCAATGGACTCAAACCAGCTGGTACGTCCCTGCCAGTGTGCGAAATAGTTTCTAAATATTTTTTTAGCAGGGCATAATCTTTCACGAATTAAAAGTCGATTATATCTTAACAAGTCAGAGAGAGTGATATACATGTATTTACAAAATTGCCCCATGAAAATTCACTAGCCAGTCGGGTCAGTTACTGGAGATTTACTGGCTCAACTGGATGTTTACTAGCTATGGGCCAGCAGGCCAGTGGCTATTTCACACACTGGTACCTGCACACCTTACAATATCAACTCTGTGTGCTTCTTTGGCTTCAAGTCGTGAAGATCCTGGTTAGATTTGGTTTTCAGCAACACATGCTTGTAGCGAGTGGCATCTAACAGTATTGGATGGTCAGGCTTGCTGAGTTGGTTGAAACATGTTATTGTATCCTATTTGTGTAGACTGATGCTCGTGCTGTTGACCACTGGATTGTCTGGTCCAGACTCGCTTATTTACAGACAACCGCTAAATATCTGGAATATTGCTGAGTGCGGTGTTAAACAACAAACCAACCAAACCTGTGTGTGCTTCCTTTCGCTTGTGTGGATACAGAGCTACAGATAACTTTTGGGGTCATTGAGTTATGTACTCGCTTCTGTTCATCTCAATTGGGTATCCTAATTTTCCTTTGAGTAACCAAATAAATTGTACTCACCTCTCTCAGGCTCAATTGGGTATTTTTCATTTTCCATTAATTTTTAAAATATAATAAAGTTTAAATGTTAGTGTTTATTATTTATATTTTATCTGTAATATGAGAAACACAAAGAAAGACTGCAAGTTGTCAAGTTCATGTCCTGGGCCCCGTTCCTCAAAGCGATCGTAGCGCGCTAAGATGATTGTAACTCCCATACTTTAACATAGGCTTACGACTGTCGTAGCGCTACGATCGCTTTGAGGAACGGGGCCCCGAAATAGAACCTCTCAATATAACTCAGTTATTTTATCTATCCACACGTACGGAAGCTAAGAATTGACATTTTTGTGTGTACACATGTAAGATTGCATTTATTGAGTATTTACAAAAATTCAAGCATACTTAAACGCAACAGACTTAATAGGAATTGAGTTTTCACATAAATATTTCCATAACTTACGCAGATATGCAGCTTATCTGTACCTCTGTGGATAGGTACTGAACTCGGGTAAAGGCAACCAGGTCTAGTTTTATTGTAACATATATTACACCATGCATATAAATGTGTATGTTGGTCAACCCATACTAATACACAGCTAGTACCGGGTATTCTAATGGAGCTAGACTCTTTCGTAGCACCACTGGAGAAAGTTTTTTATTGATGTGGGTCACCTAAGCCAGCACCAAAAGTTATTATCCATGACTTGCATCCCTTTGGCATGCCAGGAATCTGTGAACATGGATTCAAATCCCAGTCAGTGTTTTGTTTTATGAGAATAACTGTCTGTTCCCCCATATTTCTGTCTGCTGGAATAAACATGTTTCATAACATCATTTTCTATAGGTTTTAGTGTTTTCATGTGGACTTGTATCAGCTCAGCTTACTAGACCAAACAGCAAACAGCATTTAGCAACACTCAGGCTTCAGTCTAGTGGCCACCATCCAAGATTGGAATAACAAGCTATCAGTATGAAATTCAGCATATTAACATACAATCCATTTCAGGTCGATCTCAGCTGACGAACCGGGTGCCGCCGCGGGACATCCCCGAAGGCTGCTATGACTGTGGTGATGGGTTCTACAATCCCGTGTCCCGTGTAGTTGTTGATTATAATCACAAGTTCTTGAGGAATGCTGGTGAGTCGTTAGGTTTGATAATCACAGAGTTTATACTGACAGCTGAACAAACCAAGGGACAAATCATATTTTCGCGATAAGTTTATACTATTGTCATTGTAAGAAAATAACAAATATCAACTTCACTCAGGAATGTCACTGAACTCCATCAGGTTTGAAGTATTGTGCCACACTCACATTGATGGAAAACTTTACACATATTGTTTACATTTTATTCACACTTTCAAATAATGTGTGGCAGGCAGGAGTTCAACTGTTCAAGGCTTCCGTAGTCTGTTGTACAGACCCTGAAGCAAATATGTCCAAGAAAGCCCACGCAAGTCTAGAAAATGTGGCAAATCTAGATTTCCTCAGCTTCTGAAAATGACTGACTGACTGAGTTTGGTTTTACGCATTTCTACAATATTCCAGCAATATCAATGAAATTTGGACACCAGAAATGGGTTCTGAAAATGAAGAAAGTCTCAGCAATGAGAAGTTTTCATTATATTTTTTTTTTTTACTATGAACTTTTTTCAGTAAAATATGTTCATTTCAGAGACTAGTTGTTAGTCTAAAGGCTTCCATACTGCTGCCTGCCATGAAGCCATTTTGTTCCAGGGTTAAGGAGGTGAAGGATTAGGATTAGGAACAGCAATTCAGTTTCAGTAATACACGGAAAACATGGCATGTCAAGGCAGTGAATCATTCAACCATGAATTTAGCAAATCCATGAGGTGTGGCATGGCAGCTATACCAGCATAGGGTTGGGAGGTAGCAAGTGGTTAAGTGTTCACTCCATAGGTCCAGGATTGATTCCCCAAATGGGTACAATGTGTGAAGCCCATTTCTTGTGTCCCCTTCCATGATATTGCTGGAATATTGCTGAAAGCAGCTTAAAACCTCTCTAAATCATTTCAAGCCATCGATACAGAGCTTGAATGTTGCTGAATGTGAACGAAAACAACAGTCACTCAAGTGCACATATTCCAACCACCATAACCAATACAATAATCTCAGCATAAGTTGCATCAGAATAATTTTGGATTTAAGCAAACTTGTAACTGTTTTCGGTATTCAAAATACATGATGACAACACTCTTGTTTCTGTTCAGATGATGATGAGCATGACTGGATTGTGAAGACGTGCCGGAAGGGCTGGGACGAGTACGTCGGCTACACAGCTAAGGCCACAGCATGATGCTCTACTTCTTCATCAGTCTCTACCACACACTTTCAGTCAACTATTCTAACAGTTTATATTTGAAACATGCCCTATTGCAGATTTTAATACAAAGATATATTTATCTTAAATTTGGAGTCGATTTCCTGAAAGGCTAAAATTCTTCTTTACACCAAATTTTGAATATTTCTACAAAAGTTTTTATAATTCTTAAGTACTTTTCTAATCTATACTGCAATTTTCGTTACTTACTTTTCTAATGAATCCATCCTGTACAAAGAAAGCACATTATACGAGATTTGTAAATATGTATATTTATTTGTGTATATTTGAAGAGATATGAATAAATAATCGCAAATGTACAGTCATGTTTGTATTTATGTAATTTGTTTCAACATCGGATCTATTCAGGTACATGATTTAAATGAATATCATCAATAGAGGATCCAAGGTCAGAATTCGTAGTTGGTGACATCCCTCATGCCGATATTCTAAAAGCATTTTAGCACAAAGCATTTTAGCACAAAAATTCAACATATGGGACACAAAAACATCTGCACAGAACCTTGACATGCGTATGTGGAAATGTGGAACTTTTCACAAAATAATCCTGGAAGTTTCAAAGACAAGGCAGCATCATCAGTAATCCAGGGAGTTATATATTTATTACACACCCATCTCATTTTATGCTAGCAAAACAGCCGTGCAATACAGCAAGCTTAGCTATTTCTGCATGCACTCCAATATCAGTTATCAGCATTGCACAACTGCCGGATCTACTTTTTCCGATATTTGGCGGTACTGAATGGAAAGTCATTTCGGTCTCTATAGAGTGCCCCCAATGAAATCTTTGATGATCCATATATATTGTGAATCTGAATAAAAACCCTGGGCCCATATGCTGCAACACATCAAACAATGTGGTGTTTAACATGATAGAACATAACGCTCACACGTTACTATAGACTAGACCGCCATAGTGCTACAAATCACTTTATGAAACCAGCTTGACGGTATCTTTGTATTGTGCTTATTCCCCACAGCGCGCCTTTGTTTTGAACAATGTTTGAATGATGCAATGCTAAAAATAGCTGTCCACTCAAATAACTCTGAATAATGTGATGCTAAAAATAGCTGTCCAATCAAATAACTCTGAATGATGTAATGCTAAAATTAGCTGTCCAATCAAATAACTCTGAATGATGTAATGCTAAAAATAGCTGTCCAATCAAATAACTCTCACAAAAAAAAGATATCACGTCCAAGATGACGTGTTGGCAATGGATCCAGGTACATGTTGTTAGAGAAAGGAGATATATTACACTGGATGACCGAGGATGAGTTCCACAAAGCCATCTTAGTCGTTAAGATGTATCGTAACACACATACATAGACAATCATGGTGCTAAGACATACTTCCACACAGATATTTTACACTGGATGACCGATGATGAGTTCCACAAAGCCATCTTAGCGTTAAGATGTATCGTAACACACATACATAGACAATCCTAGTGCTAAGACATACTTCCACACAGATATTTTACACTGCATGACCAAGGATGAGTTCCACAAAGCCATCTTGGCGTTAAGATGTAGCCATCTTAGTGTTAAGATGTATCGTAACACACATACATAGACAATCCTAGTGCTAAGACATACTTCCACACAGATATTTTACACTGCATGACCAAGGATGAGTTCCACAAAGCCATCTTCACATTAAGACTTATCGTAACACACAGACGTAGAAATTCAAAGTGCTAAGGCATACTTTTACACAGACTATGACAACTGTAGGGCTAAGGTTAGTTTGTGGACCCCATTCCACAAAGCAATCGTAGCGCTACAACGGTCGTATGTCTATGTCAAAGTATGGGAGTTACGATCCTCTTACTCAATCACTTCATTGAACGGGCACAGGCTACTTTATCACTAAGATGATTGTAACTCACATCACTTAACACTGACGCTGACAGAGGTTGTTTTGTACAATGACAGCATAGGAGCCATTTCCATGAGCATGATGCTACGACAGTCCGTGTTGACATGACGCTCGGCAGCAGCCTTATTGTGGAACACGGCCTAGTATGAACATGTTGTGAGACAAGGAATGTGAGCATCATAACAGGTCCAGTTGGATCCCAACCTTCCTAATCGTTTCCTCCGGCATACAGAAGATGGGATTGACGGGGCGGATTGTTGTGTCCCCCATAAGAGACAATCCTGCAACGCCGAACAGTGTGTGAAACGGGTCCACCTGAAATCAGACATCAGAGTATCAACATGAAGTAAAATGATTAATGAACAAATTCAAAGTCATTGGGGGCGTGGTGGGCGAGCTATCTAAGGCTCCAGGCTAGTGATCCATCAGGCTCAAAGCGGACCGATGAATTGCAATCTAACTCAAAACTAATAAACATAAAATACTCAATGAAACACTGATCATAATCAAAACCTCAGACCAACTCTGTGAGGTTTTTGCAGAATTTATGTCCTAAAAATAAAAAGTTGTTTAACAAACTATCATTAAAATATCGACACAATTCACTATATGTGACGAGGGACGAAAGTGCAGAGAAAGAGGCAGCCAGGTGTGTGAGAAAGGATGGAGACGCACAGCACAAGTTAATGAATCAATAACGCCGGCACTTGTGCACGTGCTTCTCTAACACCTGGCTGTCCCTTTCTCTGCACTCCTCCCTCAGAATAAATGGTGAACTGTGTCAAAATTTTAATGATAGTTTGTTAAACAACTTTTTAATTTTAGAACATAAATTCTGAAAACAAATCACAGAGTAGGTCTAATGTTTTGATTATGATCAGCGTTTCATTGAGTATTATATGTTTATTAGTTTTCGAAGTTAGATTGCAATTCATCGGTCCGCTTTTTGAGCCAAACGGACTATAGTGATCCATCAGGCTTGAGGTACCGGGATCGAGCCCAAAACTTAGTTTGGAAGACTGTCCAGCTGATGCTGTTTACACTGAAAGCTGGATATACCCACCATGTCCCCTGGCCGGTCCGCAAATCCTCCTGTCTCCTCGTCCTGGCATGCCAGGATAAACTGAATCAACTTGTCCTGCAATGAAATCAGTCAAATAGTTACAGTACATCTGAACAACATCAGTGATTACATAATTACAAAGATGTAATAAAACATACCTCTATCCTTGGAGACATTCTACAGCATGTGAACAGTGTATAGAAACAAGAATGGTTTACAAAGGGAGGTAACTCTAAATAATCCCATCAAAGAATTTTTGGATATCAACTTCTTTATTTGAAACACACAATGTCATTTAGAAAGTGGTCAAATGTAACTCATGTTATTTGGGATTACTCTTTCCTAGTAAAGTACATTCTAGATTCCAGGATTCTCCCACAGAGTCAGCTAATCGCCAGCACACGAAGTCAGCCGTCTAACCCACCCAGCCCCTGCGGCTTCCACAAAAATGGAAGTCGGACAACAATGTTTTGGGGTTAATTCTTACTGAAGTAACAAAGTGTTTAACAAATATAGAAGTTGATATCCAAAAATGTTTCACTCGTGTTCATCACACATAAAGAATCTATATAACTTGCCGGCAAGTATTCCACCTCAACTGTGTTTTCTAGTAGCACTGCAAATTACAGCACCAGAGAAGACTGGGCCACTGATGCTCCATCAACAAACAAAGTCTATGAACTTCTCCAGTTAACACACAGGCAGTGTACTGACATGACCAGCTGCATCAAACTGCTGTTACCTTGTCAATCCAGTGCAGTTTGCCGATGATCTTGAGAGATGCCAGCACCCACCAGGAATAGCAGACATCAGGAAGCTTCTCTGGCCGACCTTGAAGAAAGGAGAAATAAGTTCACATCAGTGAAAGAACAATAGCAGTGATAATTTTAGAACATTACAGGTCTGTACATGTGATCACAAGAAGTCTACTGTTGGTAAAAGCCAAATTGCCGATTTACCAGTGAAAGAAACAAACTGAGTCGACTGGGTGTGGTATTACGCCCCTTTCAGCATTATTCCACAAATATCATGGCATGGAGACGCCAGACTTTACACATTGTACCCATGTCGGGAATCTAATCCGGGTCTTTGGCATGACAAGCAAAGGCTTTAACCTCTAGGCTAACAACCGCCCCTCCACAAATCTGGAGTATTGCAACTGACAGAACAGTAGCCGAATGATTTTTGGTGACGTTTCAGTGTTCTCAAGAGATCAAGATCCTCGTGATCTTGTTGGTTGTGTCACCTGGAACATTCAAAGTGAGCTGAATGTTGTGTAATCTTAGCAATAAAGTAAGTGTTACTGTGTGATGTAGTCGTCTCACCATTAAGACCCCCAGACGGCAACTGTCGCTCACACAGCCACCACCCCAGGAGGTCGGCGTTGATGTGATGGAGTCGTCCTGTGATCGCCAACATCCCTACACAACAGTAGATCTGAAACAGAGTTATCTCCCTTCCATCAGTATCGCAAACAGAGAAGCCTACTCAACTACCTGTAACCAACAAAACTACATCCAAGTGCATAAGGAGCATGGTGTCATATGATAAACCACTCAACCATGCCAGTTTAAATCCTGGGTTAATATCTCTGGTGTGGGTTCAAATCCCGAAATTTGACTTAACCCAAGAAGTACTTGAATCACAGTTTCATCAGATAAAGCATTTACTGACCTGCCCCGAGTGGGACTCGCTACCAGGCCGACAACCGAACCCTCCATCAAAGTTCATACAGGACAACACAAAGTCGACAGCCTTGTCTACATTAATGGCGTTCAACTTCCCCTGAAAAGAAAACAGGAAATATAACAATAATTAAACTGGGGAACAAGGGTCACCAGCTCAGCTGATGTCAAACTTTAATTTTTGGTCAATTACAACTGTCATAAGGGACCATCCATAATTCATGGCTAGGGGGTGTGATGATGATTTGAAGGTGGGGTCACCCATTTTCTTCTGGGGAGGTGGGGGTGTCATCAGTTTTGTACACATGGACTAGGGGGGAGGTAAAAAATTTTGTGTCACATATTTTGTACATGAGCACTTATACCAGTGAGTGAGGAAGTTAATATTTAACGTCATTCGGCAATATCTCAGCCGTGATCGCGGACGATTTTGTACATGACATGCAGGGGGACACTATATAAATTCATATTGTACATGCCTCCACAAATATCATCATCAAATGGCATTCATACTAATCAGGTTAAAAACGAAGTAAGGTTGCAAATGGTCTGAGGGTATTGAAACAGAACGGAGAGTCCTTTTGGATGGGTGACCGTGTTTGGCAGCTTGACTCCTGAGAGTTTCTAGGACTTGAGTCCTGCCCCACAACGAAGCACATGTGATACATGGGACCTTAGGCAAGTGAGTTTGTTCAAATTTGCCTCTGTTCACCCAGCAGGAAAATGGGGTACCCGTGGAAAAAGTCATATGACTATAACCTTCTAGCCTAACAGGCAGCTTGGGTTATCCAGGGTAATAATGTGCTGTGCCTTGATTGTTAGCTATATGAGCATACCTAGTGTGGAGTTTGGCGCTATATAAATGGACACATTATTATTATTATTATTATTATTATTAGATAATCTAGGATCTCGGATAATGTAATGGTGAGCCTCACTATCTCCTTTCTCTCTCATATACAACAGCCATTACCCATGAAGATCTGGGTCAGAATTTGTCCTTAGCAACCCATGCCTGTCATGACAGGTGATTTACAGATTCATACAAATGGATATATATATATATGTATATATATATGACTAGACAATAAACAACAAACATACCAGCAGTGACAGGCAGGCGACAGCACAGAAGGAGAACCGTGTGTCAACTTCACCTGCAACAGAAGAAGAACATTGAACACCGGGGATACCAGAAATGGACACAGTGCACCCATATAGGGACTGTACCATCTTTAATCTGCAGCAAGATATCAAATCATCAGAGTATTATGTTTAATACTCAAGAAAATATGGCATCAAATTATATTAATAAAGTCCCAAAGAGCAGGAATTCACCTGAGTGTTAGTGAGTGTGTGAGTTAAGTTTTACGACGCACTCAAAACGAATGTGTCCGGATATCCGAGGTCTCACTGTATATTCCAGCTATATGGCGGCGATCTGGAAATAATTCAGTCTGGACCAGACAATCCAGTGATCAACAGCATGAGCATCGATCTACACAATTGGGATACGATGACATGTGTCAACCAAGGATTCAGACATGTGTTCATTACAATCTGAAGTTTTTCTATTTTGTTCTTAAAAAATAGGATCCCAATAGGAACCAATAAGATGAAAAATATTTTCATATCTGTAACAGGAATGTTCAAATTTTAAAGTGTGATGTTTTAGGTATTTTTATCTCATTATTGGTTTTGGGGTTGGTATGTATATCTGTAAACCATATACTCTAAAACGACTAAACATGTCAAGTAACTGACCCCACTTATCCCCCGATGAAGCTGCCATCTTCTTGCTGCAGGCTCTTGACCCAGTCCACCACCCGGTCAGTGTTGATGGTGTCCAGTGATCCATACAAAGTCAGTATCTGTAGATAACATCACCATCAGAAACCCATTCATTCTTACAATCTACATACTGATCAAATGTTGAAATAAAGTTACTGCTCGGAGTTATTGAAAAACCATAAGATGATCCTACCTGTACGGCACTGAGTGTACACAGTAGATGAGGATCATGCCCCACACTACAGCTAATGCCTCCACATTCGTGCTGACACTGTTTAACAAATTCAAGAACTTCAGCTTTGTCCATTCGGTCAAGCTGCCCAGCAAGAGACATGGCCGTCAGCCCCCAGTAAATACCATTCATACGCAGGTATTCTGTCATAATATATTCCTGAAACAGAAGCAAACATTCTTGTAAAAAAAAATCAAAAATTCAAAACAAAACTTCGTCCCTCCCTTTTTTTAAATTTTGTGGTTCTTTCAAACTTAAACTTTGGTCAGTGAACATGAAAATATACTTGCTAAATAACCTGATATGCACACACAACATTCTTCCATCAACTGTTAATACACTGGGTGGTAAAGTATGTCTAGTTTCTGTCAGATAATGAAATGATCCAGTGTATATTTCATAGGGCATGTCATAATTTCTCTGTACATGATGAGGTGAGGTGAAATTGGGTTTAACGTCCTGCTTGAGAATATTTCGCTCATATGACGACGTGCATGTGTGTGTATATGTATGTGCGGCTGCTTGTACTAGCCCAGACTTAAGCTGGTTTTATAGTGCTAGCTCACTGAGATATCATGCCGCAGTGAAGCATGAATACCCCACTCAGACACAGTATACTGACTCCGAGCCGACCAGTCCTTGTTGTACCCATTAATGCTTAGCGCCAGGCAGGGACCAACAAGTACTATATTTTAACGTCTTGTGGTATGACGCGGTCGGGGATCGAACCCGCGACCTTCCGCTCTCGTATATTTCATAGGGCATGTCACAATTTCTCTGTACATGATGATCATGAATAACTTACATAATCATCCTTTTTTGCACCATATGCAGCAATGTAATCAGCATGTTTCTGAAGCAGCAGGGTGTTGGGAGCACTGTCCGGGATTGTCACATCCTTGATGGGAGTCCCCTGTTGCATCAAACAGAGAGGAGTTAAAGGGTATACTTCCATTACAAAGAGGTTAGTTAGTACAATTTGAATCACATGAAGTGAAGTTAATACATATGCTATGGCGTTAGTTCTAGCGAAACTGCTCCATAGTTTGGCATTATAAGGGTTAGGCCAAGCAGAAATCTGCCATTTTCAGGTCGTACCAGATTTGTAAATAGTAGTAGAATAAAAACAATATACTTTCTATTAATGATGATGCCACTGACAATTGTTCATGTCATCAATTAGTTGTTATGGCCCACTGCTATGCACTCGATAATCCTGTACCTCTTTACCGAAGCCGTCCTCACTGAACCGAAAAGTCTTACTCTTAGCTAGCCGAGAGCCGCGATGCGGTCCTATACAGTCAAGACATGGCCCTGCATCGCGGCTCTCGGCTAACTAACCGAAAAGTCTTACTCTTAGCCAAAGTGTAACCATATTTCGTTATCGTCATATCTCATGAGCAAGTTTCAGTTTACAATGACATACCGTAAAGTGAAGTAAATATGTAACGTATACTTATACCCGTTTTTGTATACCTCAACTGACAATCGATATTCCACACTGACCACAACCAGAAATCCAACCAAGAAATGATCGAAAACTGCACACCATGTAACGCGATATCACCACAAACCCAAATCAGTGAACTATTCCGATTGAGAATTGTTGCTAATTGTCCTTATCGTAGCAAGATGATTAACTTACCATTTTTCTGTTGTTAAATGCTACTGTTTATTGTTGATAACTACGCTTTGTCTATAAACAGTAAATGTAGTCATCGACAGGGGAGGTAAATTTTCTCATTCCAAGGGAGGTAAGTATCCATGATATGTATGTTTACAACCGCTAGCAAAAAGAAAAACGAACTCTTTAAAACTAAATCATGAATGAAATTGCATGATAAACCAGCAATGAATTGGATTAAAAGTAGTCTGCTAGCATCATTATGAAGTCAAAACACCTCTCATGTGTAAATGTCAATTTCTCACAAGCCGAAAGAATATTAGAAACGTTCACATTTTCTTCTCCGTGAGAGTCTCTGGTTTCCACCGAAACTACGTTTTATTGCCATGTACTGTGAGTATCGTCGTGACAAATATAGTATAGTTTCCACAGCAGTTCCCAAATTTACGAAACTATCATGTACATTACTATAACGAAAAGCGACCGCCAAGTTTTGATTATTCTTTCAATGATTGAAATATTTTGCAAAACGTCAGTAACAATGCGTTTCAGGTACCATGTCATCTGATGGGGTTAACATGTGGAAAAGATGCATGCACATTGAACATATCAGAAAGTCCGTGGTTCGCATCCCACTCTCGCAGTCGTGCAAAAAGTATTCGGACACTTGACGTAATTTCCATAGACTTGCATGTTAATTTAGTGTAGCATAAATAACTTTCTTGAATTAAATTTTGGTAAGATCCAAGTCAAATTTTGCACATTTGTGAGGAATCATCTTACCTACAATCACATAATTTCTGTTTAATTTTCCGTTGCTTATTTATCGAATGGCAAGAATTGAATCAACATGTGTACTGTGCCGTGAACTCCTTCAACATTGCGGCCTGTGGGACTGTGGATTGTCGAACCATACGTAAGTTGATAAATGTGATGTCATTAGTTTAATAGTGGTCGGAAAATTAAACTTAAATTATGTGCGCAAAGCAGAGATGATTTCAAATTTGTCTGTCAAATTTTACAAAGATCCATCCTAAAATCACTTCATGAAAATTAGTTATGCTACACTGAAATAACATGTAAGTCTATGGAAATTACGTCAAGTGTCCGAATACTTTTTGTACCTCCGATGCGACACGGGACGCGCCTTACTGTTGGCTGGGAGTATGTAGCAGGGCTTCGAGTCATCCCATTACCACTGAGTGTGGCGGTGTCATATTCTATTTGGTATGTTACGATAATACACGATGATCACTCTACAACATATGTTTCGTTATAGCAGGCACTAGTATTGTCACTAAACAAGATATATGCTAAGTTATAGCAGGGAGACTATATAAGGTTGTAGAGTATCCCTGGTTATAGTTGGTTGGTTTGACGTTTAACGCCTCACCCAGCAATATTCTAGCTATACGACGGCGGTCTGTAAGTATACTCATGCCAATAATGGTTGCCACCCCCTTCAATTTTTTAATTGGAGAGGGGGTGTGAGGTGGGGGGGTTGGGGTGGGAGGGGTGACAACCATTATTGGCATGAGTATATGTGAGTCTGGACCAGACAATCCAGTGATCAGCATCATGAGCATCCATCCATCTGCAATTGGGATACGATGACATGTGTCAAGTCAACGAGCCTGACCACCCGATCCCGTTAGTCGCCTCTCACGACCAGCATGGGTTACTGAAGACTAGTTCTAATCCAGGTCTTCATGAGGTTTATATTTTCATTATGAAACGTATTTTGACTGACGACGTAAAATTACCCAAAGCCACCTAAACTCTGCAATGACATCATTTTCCGAAATGTTTTTTTCAATTTCAGCATTATCGCATCCATTGTCGTCACTGCAACATGACAAAGACGATCACTCCATTTTACAATGAAGAGGGATGATGGGGTATCCTTGTGATTGAAGTGTTCCCTCGTCACTCTGAATGTCTGGGATCGATTCCCAACACGGGTATATAATGTGCGACCCCCATTTTTGGTGTCCTCCGCTGTTACCTTGCTCGAATATTGCTATAACCATATTCACTCACTTACTCTACAATCACGATTCCATGTTTCTTTCACTGGTGAAACGGGTGATGATTTTGGCAGTTTAAGCAAAGATGCGATCAAATCATTTTGGAAATGAGTATTTGAATAATACTTCATCGCAGAGGTTCTCAAGAGCCAAGAATACTCCCCAACTTGAATTTTATCTAAAAGAATATATTGTCTGTGAATATACTTGAAAAACATATTTATGCCTGGGGCTGTTGAAAATAGAGAAGGAAATCGTCTACCACAAAATTAAAACGTTTTGCAAGACTTTTCTTTAAAAACATTTAGCCTCCAATTAAAAAAACCCAATATTTTGCGTTGCAGCCATACCTGAAAGTTTATATATTTTCCCAGGTTGTCCACAACATTCATGGCTACTTTAATGCTAAACTGTCGAGAAATCACGGATCACATCCCAGAGATTAATGGATGAACGGATATCTCTGTTTTAATGGAACCTTTGTTCATGACGCTGACTAGAGTTACTTCCCACGCACAAGCAAGAAAAATGTGATTGTGGGTTCGAATCCCGGTTCGAAAAGAATATGTAGCATTATACTCGTGCGGACCCCTGAAAATCCGGGTTAGAATTGATCTTCAGTAACCGATGCTTGTCGTTAGAGGCGACTAACGGGATCGGGTGGTCAGGTTCGCTGACTTGGTTGACACATGTCATCGTATCCAAATTGCGTAGAATGATGTTCCTGCTGTTGATCACTGGATTGTCTGGTCCAGACTCAATTATTTACAGACCGCCGCCATATAGCTGGAATATTGCTGAGTGCGTCGTAAAACTAAACTCACTCACTCACTATACTCGTTGGTTACATCAAAGTGCTAAACGTCAGAGACTTGACCGAAGCGTATTAGCAATATCTGCATAGGCTGTACAAAGTACAATATTACGTGTTTTATTTTTAATTTTGTTTAATTTATACTTACCACTTCGTAGAGGTCATGCAGTTTTATGGAATTGGTAACTGGAAATACGTATTTACGTCATTGCCTGAACCATGCAACGTGGATTTCTGGACCACCCTCAATCAAAGACGAACATAGACTTTACGTTTTTGCCTCAATGCAATAATTATAAAAGTCAATTCTGTAAATTGTCAAATTTACTTTATTTGTTTTAAATAACAGAGTTTTCATTTTAAATTTTAGTCTTAGTACGCAAGAGCATCCTGTTAGTAACTGCTTGCAATGATTTGTTTTACAATTTTGTGTTTCCGTCATATTCATCCGTTCGTTCGTTCATTCATTCATTCATTCATTCAAAGTGAGATACTAGTATTCGCCACTTGGAGGAAAGAACAGAATACCAAAACAATCCCGCCCGTTGTACTATCCATACTCGGTCAACAATCACATTAACTCGGAAATTACATTAAAACATCGCGTAATAGGTTAGTGTAAGAAGGCCCGTGTAAGAATACAATGGCTGTTTGGCGGTTCACTGGTATTCATTGACTGAAATTAAGAGCAACGACACCCTTTTCTTCTTTAGACGGAAGATGACATGACCTTGACCCGGAACGAGGGAAGGGAGGTAACTCTAAAAGTATTTCTAAAGGCGTCACGTGATCAAAACGTGATTACATCATTGGTTGATACTAACATGACCTCTCTCTATACGAGGTCATCTGTTACTGCGGGAACAACGCTACCACAGGGCAGCAGTGTTTTCACACCAAGGTCGCTAGAATTTGTGCCAGTCGCTACCATGCCGAAGAAGAAACGTAAAAAGCGTTGTCTACCTGTCTGTTGTAGTGGTGAGTGTTTTATTGTAGCAATGTATCATTTATAATCTCATGACATCAACATAAATATGTAAATCTACGATTGTGTATGATCAGCTGGTTGTGTCACTTCTAAATGGCGCCTTCATGCAGTTGGCAGTGTCTGACCAAACCAATCGTTAAACTTACAGATCTAGATTAATGTGTCGCTTTTGCTCACATTTGAAGCAACAGGATTAATCAGCTTTCATATATTAACCAGCTTGCAGGAAAGTAATGGCAGCGCCAAATTTAAATTCATCCGTGTACACTTTACCGACTCCGCCATGATTGTACTCTTCAAAGCGTTCAAACACGATATTGTCAGCTAAAGATTTAAAGTATTTCCGTTTGTTAGCATGCCGATCTTAGTCACAACCGGATTAATAGCTGTAAGAAATATTGTAAGTACCCAGAACCCAGGGTCAGTTTGAACAGCATCTCGACAGCACGTCATGGGATAGAGCTGGGGTCAGATAAATAACATTTCAAGCTACTGTGCATCAGTCATGCAGACGACAAGCAAACCCTTGGATTCATCGGCAAACTTCTGATTATTACTGTTCATCCTCTGCCATACCCATTCGGAAATAATGTTTGAAGTGTCTTCCTGTGATAAAGACTTTAGAATATGGTTAAAGTAGTCCTGTTGCGATTCACTGGCGTATTCGGTTATGAACTTAATCGAATCATATCCCTGAAGGAATTCAATTCATTATTTGTGGTCAGTAGAATATATTTTAGAGAGTGTTTTTACTTGGAACTAGTTTGTTGTTTATCTAAGTGAGTTCGGAATATATCCATACCATGCAGTTGCGTAACGTGTGTTATCTTAAAGTGGGCCCAGCACGGCAGTCACAAGGCTTCAAGGGGCATTATTCTGACGTATTAGCTTTTTTGTTGTTTTTAAAAAAATATAATTGAAACCTTTCAACTTAAGCAATTACATGACATGTCTGTTATTTTGATTTCTATATATTAAACATAAAGTATTCATGAATAAATATTTGTAAAACATATCCTATTCGCCTCTGGTATAGTGGTTGCAGTCCTGGGTAAAATGGTGGTACACCTACAGAATACCAGATACCTAGCAGCCATATTGTTTAGTGTCACGTCAGCCTATCCCTAAACCTTACCCTAACCTAATCCTAACCCTAAACCTTATAGAAAAATACCAGAATAATCAGAGACTGTTACTTAATTCATTAATGCATTATATATTTTCCAGGTGCCATTTCTCCCTTTGATGACTACACAGGTGAGCAATATGTACATTCATTTATATCATATAAATACTAAGATATATATGGATGCCAAAGTGTAGTTTGTGATGTTAGATGTATGCTAGAATCATGAGCAGCAGAATGCATGTGACCATGTCTGAGACTCACTTCCTTAATATGTAATCCAGGTCAATTCAGTTGTTCCCCCAGCATCCTATGCTTGTTGTGAGAGGCAACTCCTATGGAAAGGATGGTCACTGGTCATGCTTGTTGATTGTGATGAACTTTGCTCTTAATGTCAACCACTGGTTTGGCTACTCCAGAATCAGTTATTTAGACCAAAACATATTGCTGGAATAACAATGTGATGCAACTTTAGACACCTATAAAAATATCTATCAGACTAAATAACTGTCACACTCTATCCAGTAATAGGAATGAAGGACATGCATGAAACAGTTGTATTTTCATTCTTCATGGAAAATACAACTGTTTCATGCATGTCCTTCATCTAACAGGCAATATTTTGTATATTCTTTTTCACATTTCTTATTTATCCAACACTTCTCAAAGTTTTTTCTTCTGTCTGCACACACAGCAGCATCTCCTGATGACCTCCACGCAAGGGAGGCAACTGAGGCGGAGTCCATGAGCTCAGTTCATGTTCCAGTCTGCACAAAATCTCCAGCCTTCTCGTGTTCTGGAGTGGATGTTTCCACGGTGGATCAGATTGGTAGGTAGTGCACATGCTTTCTTTCCTTTCATGTACCTTGTCATCATTTCTTGCCCCCAGAAAAAAAAGGTCCTCAGTACCTCATGCTGGGGAGTGTGTGGCCTGGCCGACTATCTCATAGCGTACCTGCTTGCCTGGGCCATACTAGGTAATTTGGTTGCCAAGAGAATCTGCCATGTCAGTTTGGGAAGTAAGATTTCCATAAGATTTCTCTTCTTCAATGAAGAAAACCAATTTTACTGGATGTTACCATTCTCCTTACATTTTGGGGAACTTAGGGATTAAGCCATTGCACTTCACAGCAAAGGCCCCCGTTCAGTTCTACACATGGATACAATGTGTGAAATCTATTACTGCTGTCCTATCTGTGATATTTTATGAATATTGCAGAAAACAGCACAAAAGCATACTCACTGACTCACTGCATAGCAAAACAGACAGAGCCTCATAACACCTACTTTCTTGCATCCGCCATTGTTAAGTTGACGGGTAAGGAGGTTGATGCTTGGATGCAGTTGATGGGATATACAAACCAATCAGAATTCCCTTGGGGGATTCTGGGTGAGGATATAGGTCCCCAGAAGCCAATGCTTGTTGAAAATTGATCAGATGGTCATCTTGTTGACTCGCCTCATTGTGTGGCCTCATACTCTAGTGGTGAGGGTATAAGCTACTCAGTATCTGTCACTGTTTGCTGGGCATTCTTGCAAATTATTTAGTCTGTCATATGGGTCTTATACTACTGGTTGCTGTTGTGCAACCTAAGGCCCCCCCAAAATATGTCCGTTTCCGGTAACCCAACCCACCCTATCCACCCCCCTTTTTAACCAAGTCAATATCATGACAGGAGTGCATTTCAACTCATCATTTTCATCCAAATCGAGTATGGTATTTTCATGTTTTTCAGTGTAAGTAGGGCTAAAATGGATTGCATTGAATTGGCATAATGGGTCCTCACTGACCAAATCTGGAAATAAATAACAAAAATAATGATTTGATATAGAAATATTTCAATGTTTCATCATAAGGCATTGTCACTATATGATATGGTACTCTTGAAGACCTCAGGTGCCCACCTGGTGCCACTAAGAAATAATAAAAGTGAAACAAAAAGATAAAACCAACCCACCTACCCTATTTTTAAAAAGCATGTAATAGGAAACGGACATATATTTTTGGGGGCCTAACCGTAGTGCCACGACTGTTGTAAGTCTATGTTAAGGTATGGACTTTATGATCACCTTTGTGATTCACTTTGTACAATGCAGAGGTACAGATAAGCTGCCTATGTGCGTAAATTACACAAATATTTATGTAAAAACTCAATTCCTATTAAGTCTGTTGCGTACAAGTACTCTTGAACCTTTGTAAATACTCAATAAATTTGATCTTACAAGCGTACACACAAAAATGTGAGATTATCGAGGACAGATCAAATAACTGATGTATATTGAGAGATTCTATTTCCGTACATGAACTTGGCAACTTGCAGTCTTTCTTACTGTTTCACATATTACAGATGAACACAAACAACAAACACGTAAACCAACACTTAAAATTTATTATGTTTTTAAAATTAATGGAAAATGGCAAAATACCCAACTGATCCTGAGAGAGGTGAGTACAATTTATTTGGTTACTCATAGGAAAATTAGGATACCCAATTGAGATGAGTACATAACCCAATGACCCAAAAAGTTATCTGTAGCCAGGGTTCTACACAGACTTTTAAAAATGGGAGTCATGGTGACTCACAATATTTATCTTTGGGAGTCATTTTCAATATTTGGGAGTCATGAAAATTTAATATTTCTTTGTGTTAATCATTCTCAGTATGTAACTGTGTATGTCACACCACCAAATGAAACTACAGCATTGTTCAATTCAAACAGCCAGGATTACTGTCTCCTCTGAGTTCTCTGGAATAATCTGACAGCTCTGTAAAAGTCAAACTATCATCAAACAATATTGTTTGCTTATCAAATCGATTTTGTTGAACTGAATCGTGAGGGCCACCTATAAAACTTGCATCAAGCCTGACTTGTATGATAGTATTTTGAGAGTCGTTAACAATATTGTTGCGTCAAATACGCAGGAATCAGGCGTCATGTAAAATCCTGTGTAGCTCTGACAATGGCATCCTGAACTGACATTAAACACAATGGATGAAACTTCTGGAGAATTGACATTGCTCAACAACATTCACTCAGTCAGAATAAGAATAAAAAAATGTAAACAGTATCCATCATTTCCTCCACAGCCATAGACAGTGAAGATCAACAAAAAGACCACCATCTTTCACTGCCTGAGCTTGGAGGGTCAAGCTCTGAAACTGCTGATGAAGGACAGGACACAAAGCTGACATCTGCATCAGCGGAGTTGGACAACAGTGAGACTCCCAGCAGACATGCACAGAGTCACCTGGCCACAGGTATACACTGCTGAACAAAGGTTTCACTTGCATCTCATGATCTATATTGAATTGTACATGAAGGATAGTGTCAAAGAAAACATTCTGGTGAAACTGTGGCCAGTGTTCAAAATAATCATTAAAGTCTGTGGGTTCTTGTGATTGCCCTATTGCGAAACATTGAATTGATAGTTATCATAGCTTTGACCTGAACTTGACTTTGCCATGTTTTGACAAGTAATTTTTCAATAATGTTTTGCAATTGTTTTATCAAATCCAAATTTCAAGGATATACTTTCTTTTGCCTGGCACTTTATGTTTTTACTTCTAACCTGGTTTTGTTCACTTTCTGTATATGATTCTGTAACTAATCAAATTAATGACTATTTCATTTTAACTAATAATTGTATCATGCTATGTTTTTCTTCAGGATTACCACCTGTCAATGAGGTCGAGAGGATGCCACTTGATTCTGATCTTGATGTCTCAGCTGCACCAGCACCTCACCCTCCACCAGCACCTCACCCTCCTGCCTCAAGGTCGTCTGAATCTGACTTCACCGACCAGGACCGTCCTGCATCATCAGCCAGTAACAGCTCATCAGAAGCAAAGACTCGCAAGAAGTACTGGCTGCAACCCGACATCAGGACTGAACAAGGTAACTTACTTTGGGGCTAAAAATTGCCAATTTTTTCAACATTTGAAGCCATGTGAAGGTTCTTGTTTAGAATATGTTCCCAGCAAACTTTGTGATTGCAAGGTGTTTTTAAAGGTGTGCTTTCACGTTCGGTAATTTGGCATTGATTCATTCTTGTATATGCAGCTTGAGCAGTATCCCTGTATGAAGTGTAAGGTTGGAGTTAATTAGCACCAAAATGATGGACACCTTTGGATTAGAACCATTTGTTGTGCTTTGAAGACTGATATGTCTTGTATGTGCACAAGAAATATAGAAAAAAAAGGGAGACCGTTTGGCCACTGTATTTGAAGCCAATTTAAGTCTAAAACTGTGTTGAACATTAGTGTAGGAACACGGATCCTTTGACTTTCATTCCTAATGTTACTAATAATAACAACTGATGTACCTATCACAGAAAGAAGTTCAACACCACGTCGTGTGAATAGAGTTCTTGCCATGGCACGTGAGAGCCGCTGTACTGGGCTAAAACGGGAACTGTTCCCAAGTCCTCCATCTATGAAGAAGGCTGTGAGGAAACCAGTAGAGACGTCCACAGCAGACACCTCCAGCAGTGAACTGTCCTCAGATGCAGAACTGTACAGACTTCTTGGATTGGAGAAACCAAAAAGCTGTCAAATACAAGATAGGTAAGCTTTATGTTTACATTTTATGTATCATATTGAAATGTATGTTGAAATTACACAAAGGTGCCCTTTAAACTACCATGTGGACGTTTCCAGTCAGGTTGGAACCCAGGACACAACAGTTTCCAGTAATGCATGCTCGTCATCACATCTAACAAATGATGACTGTCTAGGAGTGAGTGAGTGGGTTTAGTTTTAATCCACTTTTAGCAATATTCCAGCAATATCACGGCGGGGGACACCAGAAATGGGCTTCACACATTGTACCCATGTGGGGAATCGAACCTGGTCTTTGGCGTGACGAGCGAACACTTTAACTACTGGGTTCAGTGACCCCACCGCCCTCAACATACACCAACAGCTTGGGCAGATGCTCATGCTGTAAACCACTGGTTTTACTGCAATGACTTAATTATGTTCTGGTGATTGGGATATAGCTGTAATATTGCAAACCGAGGCATAGCACAACATTCACTTTACTACTAATACACAATGAAAAGTTATATGTTGTCGATTTGCCATTGTATACATTTTAGATCTTATTAAAATAGCTGACCAGGTGTAATTACCTTTTCATTCACAGGTGGAGTCATTAGCTTGAGACGAGCTTCTGCCAAAACCGATTTGCCCTCAGTTTTTGTCAACAACTCTGATTCTCTTGTGGATTCACTCACATCAAATTCAGTCAGTTCTACTGATCCCGAGCTTCGTAAACTCCTCGGCATGAGCAAAAGCACTGATGAAGATGATTCAGAACCTTTTGATGCATTTAAGAAAAGGAAGCCACTACCCCCTGTGAAGCGCATGTCAGATCTGGATAGTCCTACTGAAGTTCTGACTGATAATTCTCCCAAGGACACCAAATTTCTGAAAGAAGTCATCAATGGGTCATATAGAGCCAAATCCCCTCTTGCATCAATTCCTACCATGCGCAAAGAGCAAGAAGTTCCTCGTGATGTATCAGAATCACTTTCCTCCAAAAGCATGTCCTCACGTGGAGCCTTCGCTTCTGCTGGTTCAGCTATTTTTCAAGAGGAGCAGAACATTCGTTCTTTGAGAACCAACGGGAGACCAGATGTTAAAGTTAGGTCTGTTAAGGCTCTTGATCCAAGGAAATCAAGAGTACCTGATCCAGTAAATACTGATGGATCTAACAGGAAGATGGAATCTCCACCAACACCAAACCCTAGGTCATCTTTACATCCTTCTCCACCTGACTCAAAGGCACCAGAAATAGGGACAAGGTCTCTCTCAAGGTTTCCACACTCAAGGACACCAGGCAATAAGGTGTTGGACAAGAATATTGAATCCCCAAATCAGCCAGTGGATTCACAGAGATCTGGTTACACCAAAACAGGACTACGACGTCCAAAAGAACATCAGTTTATGTCCTTTGGTAAGATGTCTGCATCAGTCAAACCAGAGGAGACATCAGTGGAAGCTGTAATGGATCCTAGATTTGGTCTTGGTCCATCAACGCTACAGGATCATCGGTCCAGCAACAGATCAAGCTTTAGCACATATGCACCATGTCCACCAGTAGGGAAGGTAGCAGACAGACATATGTCATTCAACAGTGTGGCTCCATTGCCTTCAACATACACCTCAGTGGATAAGCCACCTACAGCAAGAAGACAGACAGGCTATGAGCAGAGTCAGTCACCCAGTGGACCAAAATGCACACCTGAAATGCTCACAAGAAGCAACACAAAGGCTGGACTGTCACACTTTGTTGGATCCAAGAGAATGATCCCAAGACCACCTAGCACCCGCAGGTTAGAGAGTGTGCACAGCTCTAGTTCAAGCTCCTCTGAGGGCATAGATATCTCTCCTAGACCAGCATGGGACATGTTGAAAGCTGGTTTAAAACCACATGCTGAAGTATCTTCCTCTTCCTCTTTTGAAAACAGAAACACAAGTCTTCCTTTCAAGCCATCCTCATCAAGTTATTCAACTTACCCCACTTCAACATGTAAGTATTTTCTCAGCATGCTCCATATTTTCAGATTTTTTCCAAATGCTTTTGTAAGTCACAAGGACAAACAAATTGAGTGAGTTTAGTTTTAAGCCACTTTTAGCAATATTCCAGCAATATCACGACAGGGGACACCAGAAATGAGCTTCACACATTATGCCCATCTTCAGGCATATAGAAGTTGGTATTCAAGTATAAGACAAAATTTGGGGCATAAGGTGAGTGACAAAAGGGCAAGGAAAAGCACAGAAACCTGTATACAATAAAGAAGTTGACATCCATAATATTTTGACTTGTGTCAAAGAAGTCAAGTAACGAACAATTGGACTCAAAATTTGGTACATGCCATTTTGGGGAAAGACATTATTATTATTATTACTACACTTAGATGAAAAGATATTTTGACTACCAGGTAGTTTCTAATTGTGTATTTCTTTTTGCAGCGTCACAGCGCCGACCTCATCAGTAGGACTTTGGGGACAGGTAGGCATTGTGGCTTGATCCGTAAGGCATTGTTTTGGACTTAATTTATGTTCTTGATAACTGGAGCACCTGATTATATAGCTGCATCGGTATCCCTGATATTCTCGGACTCTTGTCCATAAACCTCAGCACAGTCTCCATCATCTCCACCAGAATTTCCAGTGACAGGCCCGCATGGTTGCGTTGGTTGTGGTTCTTGGTGAGTCAAACCTCAGGTTTCTGGACATGACATTCTACTTGATACAGTGTTCTCTGTCTTGATGGGTTGCAGTAGGTTCTGTCTGCATGGGATGCAGAAGTTTCTGTCTGCATGGGATGCACTTTTATCAACTGATTCATTCCACTTGAAACAACCCCCTATTGTGTCAACTGATTTTTAGGAATTGAAACCCTAATTGTGTCAACTTGTATTCCTGGGTGTTTAGACCCTTTATTGTGGCAACTTGAAGGCTTTTACCTCGACTTACAAAAGTGGTGGTCCACGGATCCCCCATCAATATATTTTACGGGTCCTTGCAGATAATGTGAGGTCTGCATAGGATGCAGTTGTTTGTTCTGTGGGATGCAGTAGTTGTGTGTCTGCATTGGATGCTATATTTTCTGTCGGCATGGGATGCAGAAGTTTGTATGTATGGAATGCAATATTTTCATTCTACATGGGATGCAGTAGTTGTGTGCCTGCATGGGATGCAGTAGTTGTGTGTCTGCATGGGATGCAGTAGTTTCTATCTGCATGGGATGCAGTAGTTGTGTGTCTGCATGGGATGAAGTAGTTGTGTGCCTGCATGGGATGCAGTAGTTTCTATCTGCATGGGATGCAGTAGTTGTGTGTCTGCATGGGATGAAGTAGTTGCGTGTCTGCATGGGATGCAGTACTTGTGTGTCTGCATGGAATGCAGTAGTTTCTATCTGCATGGGATGCAGTAGTTGTGTGTCTGCATGGGATGCAGTAGTTTCTATCTGCATGGGATGCAGTAGTTGTGTGTCTGCATGGGATGCAGTAGTTGTGTGTCTGCATGGGATGCAGTAGTTGTGAGTCTGCATGGGATGCAGTAGTTGTGTGTCTGCATGGGATGCAGTAGTTTCTATCTGCATGGGATGCAGTAGTTGTGTGTCTGCATGGGATGAAGTAGTGTGTCTGCATGGGATGCAGTAGTTTGTGTCCATAGGGTGCAATATTTTCATTCTGCATGGGATGCAGTAGTGTTATGTCTGCATGGGATGCAGTAGTTTCTATCTGCATGGGATGCAGTAGTTGTGTGTCTGCATGGGATGCAGTAGTTGTGTGTCTGCATGGGATGAAGTAGTTGTGTGTCTGCATGGGATGCAGTAGTTTGTGTCCATAGGGTGCAATATTTTTATGTCTGCATGGGATGCAGTAGTTGTGTCTTGGGATGCAGTAGTTTCCTGCATGGGATGCAGTAGTTGTGCTGCATGGGATGCAGTAGTTTCATTCTGCATGGGATGCAGTAGTTGTGTGTCGCATCAGTAGCATGGGATGCAGTAGTTGTGTGTCTGCATGGGATGCAGTAGTTTCTATCTGCATGGGATGCAGTAGTTTGTGTCTATCTGCATGGGATGCAGTAGTTGTGTGTCTGCATGGGATGCAGTAGTTTGTGTCCATATGCAGTATTTTCATGCATGGGATGCAGTAGTTGTGTGTCTGCATGGGATGCAGTAGTTGTGTGTCTGCATGGGATGCAGTAGTTGTGTGTCTGCATGGGATGCAGTAGTTGTGTGTCTGCATGGGATGCAGTAGTTGTGTCCATAGGGTCATCTGCATGGGATGCAGTAGTTTGTGTCTGCATGGGATGCAGTAGGATGGGATGCAGTAGTTGTGTGTCTGCATGGGATGCAGTAGTTTGTGTCCATAGGGCGCAATATTTTCATTCTGCATGGGATGCAGTAGTGTTATGTCTGCATGGGATGCAGATGCAGTGCAGTAGTTGTGTGTGTCTGCATGGGATGCAGTAGTGTGTCCATAGGATGCAATATTTTCATTCTGCATGGGATGCAGTAGTGTTATGTCTGCATGGGATGCAGTAGTTGTGTGTCCATCTAGTTGTCATGGGATGCAGTAGTTGTGTGTCTGCATGGGATGCAGTAGTTGTGTGTCTGCATGGGGTGCAGTATTTTGTGCATGGGATGCAGTAGTTTGTGTCCATAGGGCATTATCTGCATGGGATGCAGTAGTTGTGCATGGGATGCAGTAGTTTCAGGTCTGCATGGGATGCAGTAGTTGTGTGTAATGGGATGCAGTAGTTTGTGTCTGGTATGGGATGCAGTAGTTTCTATCTGCATGGCGATGCAGTAGTTTGTGTCCATGGGATGCAGTAGCATTGCAGTAGTGTCTCCACGGGACGCAGTAGTTTCATTCTGGGGATGTAAGTGCGCATGGCTGATGTGTTCGTAGTTTCTATCTGCATGGGATGCAGTAGTTTCTGGGTCTGCATGGAACGTAGAATTTATCATTCCCATGGGAGCAGTATTGTGTAAGCCGCATGGGATGCAGTAGTTGTGTCATGTAATGGGACGGTGGGATGCAGTAGTTGTGCGGTCTGCATGGGATGCAGTAGTTTCATTCTGCATAGCATGGGATGCAGTAGTTGTGTGTCTGCATTTCTATCTGGGATGCAGTAGTTGTGTGTCTGCATGGGATGAAGTAGTTGTGTGTCTGCATTAGGGTGCAGTAGTTTGTGTCCATAGGTGCAATATTTTCATTCTGCATGGGATGCAGTAGTCGTGTGTCTGCATGGGATGCAGTAGTTGTGTGTCTGCATGGGATGCAGTAGTTGTGTGTCTGCATGGGATGCAGTAGTTTGTGTCCATAGGGTGCAATATTTTCATTCTGCATGGGATGCAGTAGTGTTATGTCTGCATGGGATGCAGAAGTTTTGTGTCTCCAGTTTATTTCTGCCTAGAATACAGCGTTTTATGTCAACATGGGAAGCAATATGTTCTGTTTCCATGGGATGCAGTAGTTTGTGTCTACGTAGTGCAATATTTTCATTCTGCATGGGATGCAGTAGTGTCTGTCTGCATGGGATGCATTACTTTGTGTCCATGGGATGCAGTAGTTTCTATCTGCATGGAATGCAATAGTCTGTGTCTACATGGAATGCAATAGTTTGCGTCTATGGAATGCAGTATTTCTGCATGGGATGCAGTAGTTTTGTATCTCTTTATTTCTGCATAGAATACAATGTTTCCTGTCTGCATGGGATGCAGTAGTTCATGTCTGCATGGGATGCAGTAGTTCATGTGTGTAGTTCTGCATACGATGCTATACTTTCTGTCTGCATGGGATGCAGACGTTTCTATCTGCATGGGATGCAGTAGTTTGTGTCCATGGGATGCAGTCTTTACATTCTGCATGGGATGCAGTTGTTTGTGTCCACGGGATGCAGTCTTTTCATTCTGTATGGGATTCAGTGTTTTTTGCATGGTAGTTTTGTGTCTGCAGTTTATTCCCGCATAGAACACAGTGTTTTCTATCTGCATGGGATGCAATAGGTTCTGTCTCCATGGCATGCAGAAGTTTCTGTCTGCATGGGATGCAGTATTTTGTGTCTATGTAGTGCAATATTTTCATTCTGCATGGGATGCAGTAGTGTCTGTCTGCATGGGATGCAGTAGTTTGTATCTGCATGGAATGCAATAGTTTGTGTCTATGTCATGCAGTATTTCTGCATGGGATGCAGTAGTTTGTGTCTATAGGGTGCAATGGTCCCATGGTTTGTGTCTATGGGATGCAGTATTTCTGCATGGGATGCAATAGCTTGTGTCTATGGGATGCAGTATTTCTGCATGGGATGCAGTAGTTTTGTATCTGTTTATTTCTGTATAGAATACAGTGTTTTCTGTCTGCATGGGATGCAGACGTTTCTATCTGCATGGGATGCAATAGTTTGTGTCCATGGGATGCAATATTTTCATTATGCATGGGATGCAGTGTTTCCTGCATGTTATGCAGTAGTTTTGTGTCAATTTATTTCTGCATAGAATAAAGTGTTTTCCATCTGCATGGGATGCAGTAGTGTTAGGTCTGCATGGGATGCAGTAGTTTTGTGTCAATTTATTTCTGCATAGAATGCAGTGTTTTCTTTCTGCATGGGATGCAGTAGTCTTGTGTCTGCATGGGATGCAGTAGATTGTGTGTATGGTTCTGCATACGATGCAGTATTTTCTGTCTACATGATAAGTTATACTTTCTGTCTGCATGGGATGCAGTAGTTTGTGTCTGCAGTTTATTTCTGCATAGAATGCAGTGTTTTCTTTCTGCATGGGATGCAGTAGTCTTGTGTCTGCATGGGATGCAGTAGATTGTGTGTATGGTTCTGCATACGATGCAGTATTTTCTGTCTGCATGAGATGTTATACTTTCTGTCTGCATTGGATGCAGTAGTTTGTGTGTGTATAAGATGCATTTGTTTATCTTGCATATGCTGCAGTAGGTTTGTTTACATGGGATGTAGTAGTTTGTGTCTTAATGGGATGCAGGGGTTTCTGTATGCATGGGATGCAGTAGTTTATGCCTTTGTACGGGATGCAGTACTTGGTGTCTCTGTTAAGGAAGCAGTATTTTGTGCCTGTGTACGGGAGGCAGTATTTTATGCCTCTGTTTAGGAAGTCATATTTTGTGTCTGTGTGCGGGAGGTAGTGTCCAGCACATCCCGTGATGCAGTGGAGAATTGTGCTGATGTAAACCAGGCCATAGTGGGGATACAGCTGCAGCTATGTTATTTTCAAAGTAGAATTCTTTAAGTTTAATTGAAAGATTCTTTGAACGTTTTAATTTGAAGTTCAGGTTTTATCAGTATTTTATTGCTGATCATGCCACAAACAAAAGATACTTGTGTTTTAAGGTGACATGGACCCAAATAATGTATGGATCTGGAGGGTTAGTTTCTATTTAATATTTTCGTAATAAGGATCAATACAGATGACTTGTTTCTTGTTTATAACAGTTAGTAGCGAAGTTTCTCAATTGAGAGTGTGAATATTGCTTGAAGCAACGATCTCAAAATTGTAGCTGGAAATATCTACAGCAACAATAATTTCTTTAAGGCTGTTTACAACTGTGATGAAGAATATTTGGGTTGCAAATAAAACAAAATAGTGAAATACACAAGTATTTACTTTGCCTGACAATTATCCCTAAAACTGCCTACTGAATATGGTGCTGTGGACAATGATGATGGTGGGGATGCTGATACTTATGATGATGATGATGATGATGATGGCAAAAGAGGACAAGGAGGAAGACATATAACAATTTCTGTATAATACATTACATGGTTATTTATGTATATCAGTTGTTGAAATGTTCATTTTATTGAATGTGATGTAAATGAATGTTACTTATCGTATGCTTTTGTTGATGTAATTTCCACTTTTATGGGTTTTATGTACCCAATGATAGCAAAACAACCCATACTGGTTGTACATTATGGCATTCTCTGTCTGATAATTTACATTTGCTTTGCATCAGTTATAATTTTTATTCATATTTTATTTCATTATAGCTAACTGAAATGATACATACACCCTATACATCATTCCTTCCAAGTCAGGAGGTACACTTGTACTGGAAACTGAAAAGAGATTACTGGTCAAGGCCGTAATTTACCAGTCAAAGCCATCATTTACCTGCCAAAGCCATTATTTACCGTTCAAGACCATGATATGCCTGCCAAGACCATACTATACCTGGTAAAGCCATTGTTTACTGGTCAAGACTATGATATACCTGCCAAAGCCATGGTTTACTAGTCAAGGCCATGATATACCTGCCAAAGCCATTATTTACTAGTCAAGGCCATGATATATCTGCCAAAGCCATTATTTACTAGTCAAGGCCATGATATA